AACCCTAATGTAACCCTAATGTAACCCTAATGTAAACCCTAATGTAACCCTAATGTAACCCTAATGTAACCCTAATGGCCTTCACAGGATAGGATACTTTAAGTTGAGAAAGACCCCTAATTCGACACAGAGCACCACTTCCCGACTTTATCTCGAAGGAAAATAGTACCATTGATACTTAAAAAAGTTTCAAATATAGGCCAAGTAGCTAAATAGTAATAAACTCAATTTTCATGTACCAAGTTCTTAGTATACTATATCCTCTCTTCATGTTTCCCTCAAAATACTGGGCATTCATTCAAAGTGCCATCTTTATCGTTCTTAGATCCAATTGTAGTCATTGTGTCTTCCATTTCATCTTGATTGACTATCCAGCTCACAAAGTCACAAATCCATCCCAATTCTGCAGAGCCTGGCGACATATATCCTCGTACAATGGTAGCCCACCCGGAAAGGCCAACATTTCCCTCTTCTTCCCCGGGATGTTCGCTCCAACCCACCAAGAGTCAGCCTTGCCCAACAGCGTCATATCGGTGAATGTATTAACTGTGGTCTTCCAGTTCTTCTCCGCCTCCTCCGTCGGTTCCACCGAGATTAAACCAGTTTCATCCATCTTTCGAATAGCATCGACAATCCAACGCGACTGTATCTCAATTGAGGCTGGGCCATTGCTCAGGAAAGTCGGACCGTGGACTGCATAGCAGAGAAACATGTTTGGATACCCCTTGCGCGTCATGCCGAGGTATGAGCTCGCCCCGTCTATCTTCCACTCGTCCGCCAATGTGGTCCCGGAGGTGTTGCGGAGCCCGGAGATACGGGTGAGGCTGCCAGTAACGCTGTTGAAGCCTGTTGCCAAGGCAATCACGTCGACACGGTAAAATGTGCCGTCTGCGGTTTCAATCCCATCGGGTTTGATTGCTGCAATAGCCCGGCCAGGCTCGCGGAGGTTCACTAATTCAACATTGGGTCTGTCAAGCATTTCGAAATAGTCCTGCTCGTAGCACGAGCGCTTCGATCCGATTGGATGCGGTGGCTCCAGAGGTGCCAGAAGATCTCTCTTACGAGGATCAGTAATTCTCGCCCGTGTCCTTTTGGCCCAGAAATCGTACGCCGCACGATTCGCCTTTTCGTCAACCATCAGGTCACTAAAACTACTGAGCAGAAAGGAAAAGCCGCCTATTGTGTAAAGTGCTTGATAAAATGCCTCTCGTTCCTCGAACGTGACATCAAATGTAGCACGAGGGTCAGGCTGTTCCAAGAGGCCGCTGAGAGTCTTCTCTCTCTGGGCGAATATGCGTGGTGCATCCTCCTTGAGCGCTTTTTGCGTCTCAGGTGAAAGTGTCTCTTGTTGCATGGGCAGTGCCAGGTTTGGTGTTCGTTGAAAGACCACCAGTGACTCCGCTTCTTTTGCCCAGGACTGCACAATCTGCACGCCAGATGCGCCTGTGCCTATCACTGCCACCTTCTTCCCTGCGACTTGAATCCCGTCTTTCGGCCAGCAAGCCGAGTGACACACATCCCCGGTGAACGTCTCTAGTCCCGAAAAGTCTGGAAGATACCTCTCTGCCCCGGTGCCGACACAGGAGATCAAAAACCGACAGTGTGTGGGTTTTCCAGTGCTGGTTTCCACCCTCCACTTCCTCTTCCCCCCCGCGTTGACATCGTACCAAGCCCCAGTCACGGATGTCTCGAAGTCAACGTCTTTCTTAATATCGAGAACCTTCTCTACATGTGCAAAGTAGGCCCTCGATTCGTCCGCCGATGGATACTTCTCGCGGAATGACCACGTCTTTTAGACTTCTGGTATTGACAGCTGGTAGATATAACCCGGGGTGTCCACACGACAGCCAGGGTAGGTGTTCCAGTGCCATGTCCCACCGAGATCGGTGCCTGACTCGTAGATTCGACAGCTGTAGCCCAGCTTACGGAGGTGGTAGAGGAGGTTGATGCCCGAGAAGCCGGCACCGATGATGACAATGTCGTAGGTGGAGATGTGGGTAAACATAGCGGATAGTGTTGTTGAGAATGCACAGACGGGCGGGGAAGAGCAACCAGAACACAGATGCAAGTTTGACAGAAATATCCATGGGTGCTTTTATATTAATTGCGATTCACTTACACCGCGCGATAAGGCTGATGCTGACGCAGCCCTTGTAACGAGGAATCATTCCGAGGGCTCTGCGGGGCCGAATGAGAGACGTGTCTTCATTCATCCTTATTACCCACAGGCGCTAAAAAGCGGGGGTGCTGATGCATACCTACAGTAGTTGCGCTGGCCATCTCTTCCGATTCGGTACTAGACATAATTACATGATGCAGCTCCACAATACAAGAATCCACAATTCCACCCCCCTTCGGTGTTACTGGCGCCACGATCCAAATGCGCATTGTGTAAGGCTTTTCCTTGTATGGTGGGACATCCGGCGCGAATTGGCCGATGAGGGCAATTGGGTGAAGGGGTAGAGAAAGGCTTAGCGAAGGGTGAGATGTTACAATCCAAGATCCTATGGAATGATAGCACAGCTGTGTGCATCCGACTGGGAAGGGACTTTTCCATTAGTGCTCGACATACCGTAGCGCGGGAGTTGTCTGGAAAGCAAGCCCTACTTTTTCCCGACATGCATTAACGCTGTTAGCAACCTGTTACCCACAAGATCTTTCCTCTGAGATCAAACGTAGCCAGTCTTCATGAGACTCTTGGATTTATTTATTAAGGTACCTCACTTCCCGCCACGATGCTACTATAGTGACATATTCGGCTGTGCTGGAGGTTTCCACCTAGTCTCTGGTTACGTCAACATCATCAAATTCAGAGAGAGGTTTGTATACCTGCCGGATCAAACCTCCGATTAATTCCTGGACACTCTTATTATCTCCTGTTTATAATCCTTGAAATGTCACTTCCTTTTGTCTCCTCATTGAGCCCTACTCCCAGAACCCTCTCGATGCCCGCGTGTCCTTTCCCCTATTGACTAATAAAATGGTTCCGCCAGCGCCCAAGGGCAGCTTGAATCTGCACAATGCTCTTAGCCAGAGCATGAACACCGGGCAATTTAGTGACCTGCGGTTTGTCTGCAAAGAAAGGCATTTCCTGGTTCACAAGATCATCGTCTGTCCGCAAAGCCCTGTTATAGCAACAGGAGTCAACGGACCATTCCGGGTAAGCCTCCCCTAGGACACAAATAGCCCAGCATCGGAGATTACAAAGCTAACTTTCTTGAGGAATCGCAAACTGCCTCTATCAGCATGGACAAGTTCGATACCAGTACCGCTGAATGCCTCGTTGATCACCTGTATACCGGTGATTACGACTCCCACTCTAGGATTCCGACCATCGAAGCCAGTTCTGCTGCTAGCGCTTCAGAGCTTGAATGTCTATCGCCTCCTGGTCCACGAACGGACATGAGTCTATCGGAGCACATCCGCGTCAACGCGATTGGTGATTATTATCAAGTCGTCGGTCTTATCGCGCTTGCAAACGATAGAATTCGAGATCTACTGCAGAGTTCTAATAGCTATAAGATAACTCACGCAGAGCTTCCTGCCGCTGTTGACCTTGCACTGAATTCCACGGCGAATACTGAGGTGTTTGACATTCTCGCTGAAATTATGGCAGACGGACTACTGACCGTGATCGAGTGGGAGGAAGTAAAGTCCCTCAAATCTGAGATGCCTGACTTTGCCATCAAAGTGCTGCAGAGTTGCGTGGGAAAGATGCGGGAACTTCACAAACAGATCCAGGGGCTAAACTCTGATCTCACATGCAAAGATCACGAACTTCAAAGCAACCAAAAAGCCTATCAGATGGCTGAATCTGAGTTAACCCACATTAAGCTGTCCTTCGAGGTTCTCAACAAGACCTCAATATGCAGAAACCCAAATTGTCATGTCAAGTTCGAGTGTTACTTCGATGACAGAACGTATAAACTGCGGTGCGAGAGGTGTGGGTGCAGGCATTCGTTGCCCTACGACGCTCATGGCCTCTGAAGTGGTACCATTATATGTACTGGAAGAACTGTTTTTACAACTCCTCAGGTTCCCTTGCCACACTTTGATTTGTCGGTATAGGTCCTATGTGTGGTCTCAAGGTTGAGACTTTTAATTCATTATATCTCCTGCTAGTCAATTTCAGTACTGCTTAGTTTCCTGAGTGCCTGTCCGTTTCTGGTAAGCGATGGTTGCGCTGCGAGTTTCAGTAGCAAATACTGTTGACAAATGCTGGTTGTGGCTAGAACAGGTCACATAAAAAAAATGCATAATTGAAACATTCGACTTTCAGAAAGATGGCAAGCGGAGTTATGTGTCGCATATGACAAACCGATCGTGTATAGCCCGGAACGGACTGTGTCGCAGTCAGCTTATATTATGATATGGAAGTGATGCCCCAGGCTCTATGTCATCGTGTCGACATTCGACTTCACACATGGCTAATATGCGCCCTTTTCTGCCCCATAGCCCTGATTTTCAAATCTGACGTTAAGATAAAATAACGAGCTTTCGGTTTCTCCAAGATCAACAGTGTCGCGACCCTTCGAACCATCCAGACTTTCACTGATAACGAGGTTGCTCGGACTTGGACGACGTCAAGATGGAGTGATGATAGCAGCGTGACTCTAGGAAAGGCGGCCTGGGATGTCTTACCCTGCGAGAGAACGTCGCATGTGTAGGACGACAGACAATGAACGACTTTGGGGCAGTCCTAGATGCCCTCAAGGCCACCATCAAGAGGGCCCGAAAGCTAATCTGGGTGACTCGTGGTGCCACCGAAGATTGCCAGAACCCTAGATCCAATCTGATTATAGGTATGGTGAGGGCATTGCGACACGAAATACCAGACTTGTCAATGACCACCCTTGACCTCGATCCAAGGACCCGATCCGCTGAAGCCCTGGCTACGTCAATTGCAGAATTCCTCACCAGGTATGTCTCCGCGCAGGAAAAATTGGATCGAAAGGAGTGGTAAGTTGTTTGTTCCACGGCTGGTTGAGGATGAAGATGCGACAAACTCTGTGCGATCCCTCTGCAGTATACCGCCTGCATCAGTCGCGAAATTGTAGCCGTTCCATCAGGACACTCGGCCACCCACGCTCGCGAATGAGAACCCTGGGACACTTCAAGGAATGATCTTCACTGACAGTCGAGGATAGGAGTCCCCTCTACGCGATGACGAAGTTGAAATGCAGGTTTTCGCATCCGGCGTGAACTTCCAGCATCTGATGATTCGGTTAGGACGGATGCCGGCACAGAGTAAAGGAGGTGGAGTTGAGTGCGCCGGAATCGTCACGGCCGTTGGAAAGAACTTCCAACACGCCGTCTCGAAAGGAAATCATGTCTATGCCTGGAATGTGCCGTGGTACTCGAGCCATGTGCGAAGTCAGGGGTCAATGACCCACCGTATACCGGAGGGTCTAGCCATGGAAGAAGCGGCCGCTGTCCCCGTTGTTTACTGCACCGCATACCACTGCCTGCTCAATGTTGCTCGTATGAAACCGGGCGAGACTATCCTCATCCATTCGGGTACCGGTGGTGTCGGTCAAGCGGCAATAGTTCTTGCTCGCCAAGTAGGCGCTGAAGTGTTCACTACCGTTGGATTAGAAGTGAAGAGAAAGCACCTCATCAGAGAGTTCGGATTGCCAAGGTCCTATATCTTGTCCAGTCGTTCTGCTCAATTCTCACAAGAAGTCCTACGCCTAACCAATGGCCGCGGTGTCGATATCGTCTTGAATGCCCTTTCAGGCCCTCTTCTGCAAGCTTCACTGAATGCCTTGGCTCCGATAAGGCGTTTCATCGAAATCGAAAAGAGCGACCTACTTGGTCATTCTCGCCTGGACATGGGGTGCTTGACTCGCTCAATCTCATTCTCCGTCGTCGTCGACCTCGCCCTTGTTGTACGCGAGAAGCCTGAAGATATGGCAAAGCTGTTCGCCAAGGTCCATTAGATGTTCGAAGAACGTGTTATCAAACAAGCGGTGCCGTTGGTCGTTGGGCCAATCTCCAGTCTTGAGGGGGTCCTCCGCCGCATGCAGAAGGGAGAGCATATGGGCAAACTGGTGGTCTCGCACGGAAAGAATGACATGGTCAAGGTCAGTTTGTCCAAGAACACTTGCTTACAGCATGAAGACATAGCCGCTTACTGGGCATCTGCAGGTCTTGCCTCGTGCTCCAGTAGCTGCCAAGTTTTCGGACGAGGCAACGTACATCGTAGTTGGCGGCCAGCGTGGCCTTGGGCGCGTATTTTGTGTCTGGCTGGCTCGACACGGAGCCCGGCACATTGTTGCCCTATCGCCTTCAGAGCCTGACAAGCCCTTGACCCGGGGTCTGGAGAAGGACTTACATCGATCAGGTGCCCAACTTCACGCGTTGCGTTGCCGAGTGAAAGATAAGACCCAGCTGCAAGCAGCTCTTAGGTACTGTCGGGAGAGTTTGCCGCCCATTCGTGAGGTCCTGCATGCTGGACTTACTGTGAGGGTAGGAAACCCTCTTCGTTGACTGTAATCCTTGACTAACGTGAGGCAGGATGCAACTTTTGAGAAAATGTCGACCGAGGATTACCGGACGGTGCGGCAACCCAAAATAGATGGTACCTACAATCTTCACGACGCTCTTCAGGGCCAATCCCTTGACTTCTTCATCATTCTCTCATCATACATGGGACTCGTGGGAAGCCCGGGACAGTCGAATTACGCGGCTGCGTCGACCTTCCAGGATGCATTCGCTGGCGTACCGGTCAGGGCATGTCTACCTATTCACTAGATCTGGGCACAGTCTGGGGGGCAGGTTATCTGTATGAGAACATTGACGCCTTGGCACAATTTGAGAAGATGGGAGTGGGGAAGATCCCACTTTCAGTACTTCAGGCTCTTGTGGGATATGCTGTGTCGAACCCCTGCAAGAAGCCGGAGAAGAGTCAAGTTGCAATAGGCTGGGCTCCTCCTTCGACGTGGACGGATGCCCATTATGAGACTTTGGATCCTCTATTATCCTATCTGAACCGTCGGTGCCGGAATTCACGAGTAAGAAGCGGTCCTCCTCGACTGACTCTTCCAGCACGGCACAAAGCTTCTCCGAGAGACTCTCCCACTGCGAGTCGCTTGACGAATGTGTGTCAGCGATTGTGGCGGCACTCTGTCAACAGATTACCGACATCCTTGGGGTGGCCACAGAGTATGTGGATGTGGGACGGTCATTCGCAGATCATGGGGGTGACTCTTTGGTCGCAATCAAGTTACGCAACTGGTTTCGCAGGGAAGTTGGCTGCACTTTGACCAATGATCAAGTGTCAACTCAACACTCCGTGCAGGGCTTGGCAAGAATGGCGGCCGGCGCGCGAGCTGTTGCCGTTTGACATTGAGACCCATCATGTTGCGTACAAGGATGAAGGGGAGATGTACGGATGACGATGGATGATGGATGATGGATGATGGATGGTGGATGATGGTCGATGGTCGATTGTTGTTTGTTCGTTCCTCACGTGTCCGTCCAGGGCAAACAAAGCAAATCATGCATCCCACGTGACCCTCACTCGGCTGCATAATTTTGTGCATACCCTCTTTCAAATCAGAAGTCTTCTTTTTGCCTCACCTTTGTAAATATTGCCTTTAGGCTTATCAGAATTCTTTGATCTAGGTTACAGTAATCCTTTGTAGTTTCAGCGTACTTGGCATTATACAAAACGCTTCTATCAACACATTGGACAAGTTTCGAGAATCAACTAAAAAAAACATATTAGGCAAGCTCCTTCTAGATGAACTCATGAACGCACATAGCATGGCCTCGATCTGAATCTTAATCTCTTCTCAGGTCTCATTTGTCTCATTTTTTTATAGATCCTTATTTCAGGAAACTCACAAGTATGCAGATCTTGCCATAGCTTACACTCAGTGTGTGCCATGTATGTGTATATGTTTTGCTTCGCAAGCACATTACCCGGATGAGTCGGCACACTTGCATAGATCCCTCGTCGAGAAATTAAAAAGCATGACGTCAAGTGTGTGCGAGTATCAAGACCTGTGCTGCCTTCAGTCCGAATACAGCGGATCGACCAGAAGACTAGAGGCCTTATCAGGGGGGGACAATTGTCAGACACGCTCGTTGATAAGCACTAGAGATTAGGATGTCGTAGGGCTGAACCGGGTCATGGAGCAACCTGCACTTGTACTAATTGAGGGTTCCAGGAAATAGATGACGTAGACTTACTATATTTGTGAAGATCATAAGAGAAAAGAATGGCTCCTATTCGACACCACGAAGGGTGAGGGATTTTGGCCCACTTCAGCTTCAGCCCTACCAGGCACCAGGGCCCCACTCGCCCACAACTGCTCGCGAATCGATGTGGACGCCGCCAACAAGATTGTTGACCTTTATTGGAGCACAGCTTGACCCGGCTGACGCATTGCCCCCTGCTACAAGCCTGATGAGACAATTACCGAAGAGACACAGCCCAGACTGTGTATTCAAATGCCACTAGCATAGTTAGGCATTGTGATGTCATGTACTCTGAGACCCTATAAGACCCTCATGTGTTTGGCCTGCGAGTCATACCGGACACCAGCACATTCTCATTCCTCATCCACACCTGCACAATGGCAACAACCTCAGACAATTCCCCCCATGTGGCTTCTCTCCTGCACAAGAAGCCGCATTATCATTCCGAGCTGGGCTCGATCCAGGCCATAACGGCCGAGGACCTCCCCATTCTCAAGAACTTGTCCATTAAGCGTCTTCGTCTCGCTCGGAATGCCATCCGAGAACCTCACTGGCATGCCAATGCGAACGAGCTGGCCTACTGTCTGTCGGGCAAAGTCATGATCTCAATCCTTGATAGCGGCAATGAATTTTCCGTGTTTACCCTGAACCAAGGCGAGATGTTCTTCGTGGAATCCGGTTCGCTCCATCACATCGAGAACATCGGCGATAGCGACGCAGAACTGATTATTTGCTTTCGTCATGAGCGCCCGAAAGACTTTTCGCTGGCTGCTTCGCTGGGAGCGATGAGCGACACAGTCCTCGGCAACACGTACGACCACCACTCGTCCGACTGGAAGAATATCCCCCGGGACACCCAGACCAAGTACCTGGTGCGTCAGCAGGGAGACATCGATGTGCCTCGCACTGCGCTCCTCCCTAACCGTCACAAGTTTGACGTGGAGGGCATGACGCCGCCCACCTCGCATGATGTTGGGACGGCTCGAACAGCCAGAAGCCAGTTCTGGCCCGCGTTGCCCAACATGTCCATGTATTCCTTGCGCGTGGAAGAAGACGGCATGCGGGAGCCGCACTGGCATCCGTCTACGGCGGAAATGGGATATGTAGCTGAAGGCACCGGTCGTATGTCGGTCATGGACCCCGATGGTACGGTTGATACGTATATCTTGAAGCCCGGCGATGTGTATTACGTCCCGGTTGCATACCCGCACCAGATCGAGGCTGTGGGTGATGGCAAGATCCACTTCTTGATCTTCTTTGACCAGCCGATGCCTCAAGATGTGGGCTACAGGAATGCTGCTACGCTGCTGACGCCAGAAAGTATGGCTGCGACCCTTGGGGTGAAGGTCAAGGATCTTCCCAAGTTCCCTCACACGCCTAAGGATCCCTTGATTGTGAAGAAGCGCAACGTGGTGGACCCGGTTAGGGCTAAGCTATGATGGAATCGGGCATGTAGCCACCCAGTCTGGAGATGGTTCTGGACTCTCTTGTTCTCCAGAAGAGTATGCCATCGGAGAGCTAGATAGATGAATAGGATTCAACATGATTCAATTGGAATGAGATTAGCATTGTCAACGCCACGTCTTAGGCAATTGCTCTCGTAGCCCACCGATCCATAACCCACCGCACTTCATCCACCAGAATTTCCGGTCGCGTAATCGGCAGACTGTGACTCTCCTCGAGCACTTTTCTATATCGATTACAGCTCGACAGCCGGAGCTCGCCCGCTCGGAGCTCATCATTGAACAATTGCGCTCGCTCGAAGAATTGACTACATTCCCGTCTCTCCGCCTCCGTCCCATGACCCAGACGTACCCCCTCGTCGTAGATCAATCGAAAGTCCTTGGTAAAGTCCGCGCAGATGACACTGACGGGCGCATCACCGAGTACCTGCCGGGCAAACTGCTGCTCCCTGAGCAGCTGCCTGGCACTCAGCCTGGGGTTCTCCAGGGCACTGCCACGGGCGCTCTTCTGAAGCTGCTTGCCCACATATTCCAACTCTTCCTCCGTCAACCCCAGTCGCTCCCTCTCGTGCGTCACAGCCTCGTAGTCGACGCCTTGTGCTATGGCCGCAAACGCCGGTGGCGGGACGGAGGGTTGGAAGAGATCGAACATCAGCTCGGTCGCCGATTCGGCCAGCACCATTCCTGCGATGGAGGGCTGCACAGGCTCAAAAAGTCCCACGAAAGCCCGGGCACAGATGGAGCCATACGAGTGGCTGACGAGGATATAAGGGGGCGCCACGTCAATCACGGTGAGCAACTCCCGCAGTTCCCTCGCGGCGCTCTGAGCCGTCACTACTGTGTCCTCGGCGGCATCCGGTTGGGGGGCATCCCCCGGATCAATTTCCGAGTCCCCGTAGCCTGCTCGATCGTGGAAGTAGACACGGTAGTGGACGGATAGCAGACGTTGCAGGCGCAGATAGAGCGCACTGGGGGCGCCTCCCCCGGTGAAGAAGAGCACGACGGGGCGGCCGGGGCACCGTGGAGGACCCGAGGTGGAGATGTATAGGGCATGTCGGGGTGAGATGCGCACCAGGCCGCACTGGTCGGTGGTCTCCCAGGGATTAGTCCAGGGAAAAGAGAGCAGTCGACGTACCATATTTGATTGTTGTTGGAATTGAAGATATCTGAATCTAGAGAGAACAGATCAAGGAATGAGTGTCAGTAGAGCGGGGAAATTATGCAGGCATAGCTGAGTCAGTCACTTCACACAATTTTATAGAATGATATCAGAGCAAGTTATACCACATGATATCATATCAGTGTAAATATATGGGGACAGTTTACAATCAATATAGCATAGCTTTAACCAACACCGCACCAAGAAACGGAGTATGCCCCTTCCCCATGAATCCCATGCATCCCATGAATCAAGCACTGCACTTGGTAGCAGCACTCACCCAACCGGTCAACCGATTGGCAATGTCAGAAGCATAGCAAGAAGTCGCTCCAGCTCCGCTCAAATTACCAGAACTCGGAATGGACCAAGCACCTGAATTGTACATCCGGGCTGCTCGATAGAAGCCTGCTGCATTGGTGCGGGCAGACTTATCCAGCAGAGTCGCGAGTCCGAACCCATCCGCATCGCTAGTTCCGATCGCTGGATTGCGTCAGTAGTGATAAGCGGAGTAGAAAAGGCTCATTGGGAGATACCTCCGTCCTTAATCATCTGCACAATCTCCGTCTTGGGACAAGGATTCTGCACCTTGCCCCCGTTGTTGCACGTACCGGTGCCCTGGTAGCTTTGCATGAGCCCGGGGTTGCTGACACTGTACGTGGAGGTGGGCGCGCGCACGCAGCCCTTGGATTCTTGCATCACAACCGCCAGGATGAAGCGGTGGTCCACTTTGGAGCTGGTTGCCACCTCCTGGATAGCATCGTACAACTCCTGGGTTTCCGTAGCCGAGTTATCGGCCACCCCGAACTGAGCGCAGGATTTGCCGATGGTGGCCTTATTGGCACTCCACCTGTAAGTCCGTATTAGCGTCAGCCTGTGCAATAGGACAAAAGCAGACATACATATTCTCGAAGGACACCCTAGAGCGATGATTAGTACCTTGCAGACCGCGTTGCACTGCAAACTCACCAGTCAGACTTGTCAGGCCAACCGGCCCCGGTCGAACCATCCCCGGTATACATGGTATAGGAGTCTTTACCAGCTCCTTTACCGTCATTGTTGTTGATGGCCGAGACTGCAAGCCCGCTTACAGTGACCGTTGCACTGGTGGACCGGGCGCTCAAGCTATCGTCGCGCTCGATGATTTCGACCTTGCCAACGCCCACCGGAGCGGCTACGGTGATTCCAGTCAAGCAACCACTTAGCACGGCCTGGGAGTTCAGGGTGTCAGCTGCTGTGTGGATACATGGACGGACGAAAGTTGCTTACATTGAGAATCCGAGACCAACGCATTTTGGGTTAATGAGTGCGAGGAGATTACCTGTCTGGGGAAGGACTGATAAGGTGAAAAGGAGTGAATCTAGGTAGTACTAGCCGTAAAAGAGTGTAATGCAACTACCCTGTAGCTGCGAGGAAGTTCAAAAGGAGTGACAGAGTCGAAATCGGCTCAAGATTGTGGATTGTTGCTGGATCGAAGACAATGGGATTGAAGACAATCAGGGTCTTTATACCGTATATCCGGGCGAGTAATTGCTCTAGGGTCCATGCAGGGCCAAGGTAGCATTCAGATGATGAGATGTTATTGTTGGTTGGCAGGAGCACTAAGATCGATCGTGACGGTAGTAGAACAGTATAGCGTTGGACTTGGTCGCTAAGATCCCAATGCTCGAGTCAGGGTCCCCGAAGGCACAATGAGGCACAAGCTCTGCCCCTTTCCAACAGGAAAATATTGAAGCAGATTTCAATGCCTACTAATGATCTTATGACAAAAGATCGATCCTTAGTGTGAGTGTCTTACTTATACCTCTCCAACTTGAATGCTGTAGACTTAATTGGGCCGGTTCTATATCACAGAATGAGACGATGCAGGTCCGAGACGCTGTTGCAGGCGCACAAGATGCTGGGCGTGTGGGAGTTGGAGACACTGACTAGAGCAGTCGAGAAGGTTTGAGGCTATACAGCTCAACCTTGTAGCATTATAGCATATGCTGATTGACTTCACCTACCGCATCTCATCGATATGCGAATTGCCGAAGTTTGCAGATTACCGATGCGAACCTGGACTCGGGTCCTGGTGATTTCCACCCTCGACAAACAGGTGTTCAACATTCGGTCTATCCGCTGCCAACAAGTAGCAATGCAAAATATGGGGTCCGTTTCAGCATATCTCCCGAGCAAGCAAGACGCTCTCCTGTACTCTCTCAGGTGGATAGCCCTAAGCCGCACCCGTCGTGGCGCACAGAGGCTGAGCGTGGGGGCCATTGTAAGGACCACGCCTGAGCACTTGTGATTGGAAGAAGCTTCAATCCCAACACTCTTAAAGTTGTTCAGTGTAGAGACTCGTGCCTGACTAGAAGCGGGCCGGACTTGAGGGTCTGTTGAATCGGTGGTCGATAGTGCGAGACCCTAATGCGGAGGTTGAGGTTGGCTTCGGAGATTTGCGCCCCCAACTCAAGATAGCGTCCGGAACAGCATCTCTTCAAATTCTGCCTTGTCGTTACATCCAGTCGCATTCTCTGGTTGTTCGACGCATCTCGCTGGGGATGCAGGGTCATAATCATGTCCGACATGGGTTTCACATTGAATGCCTTGGAAGAACAGCATTGTATCGTGCTTGTCAACGGATGATTGTACAGCAAACATCTGTGATGACTCTGACAGCTATGGGGGTATATGTTGAGTAAACTCCACAAGCAAAGAAGTTGTAGTGACGATGCGAACTAGCAGGGAGAACTGCAGTTAACTCTCCGAAATAGTACAGATACCATATACTCTACTTAATCTTCTTAAAATCACCAGTCACCATGGCAAGTATTTGTCACGTAAGCAAAGTAATTAATATCCAAACTGCGAAGAGTTATTGAGTAGTAAGACAGAAATAGCTTACAGTTGGAGTCACCTGGCCACAGTTCGCATCAATAGGGCATCCCTGGACTCAGCCGTAGCTATTTTGGACGCTATCGAGCGAGCTACTGCATTCTTTTCTAGCAACCAGTGAAAGTTCTGCTTGTCCTCACTGTTTCCATCAATCCACTGACAGTCCATTCAATCAGTTTCTCGAGGGTCAAAAGCCATTGTGACTGGCGATCAATACCAGAACGCCCGGGTGTAACAGCCTCACCCAGATCAAATGCAAAAGCCCGACCCTCGACGAGGAAGCAATGAATCACCTCATTGGGAAAATGTTAACCCCATTTTTAAAAAGCCTAAAATCTTTCTATCTACTATTTTCATACCAAGAGAAAGCAAGCACATACGACCACAGGGTGTGGAAAATAGGGCTTCCCGTCCGCTCAGCCGTACTCAAGCCACACGCCGGGAGGTTAGTAGTTGGGTGGGTGACCACCAGCGAATCCCTTCTGTTGTATGTTTTTTTGTTTTTGTTTTTATTCTATATCCATCCTAAGCAGCTTCATCTTCTCTTTCTCTTGCTGCCAACTGCTTTCTCGCCCGCCGTTCATTGCGCCGGATAAATAGCTGAATCACCACCACACTAATGATTGCCGCCATGACCAGCCCAAACGTCGCGGGGACGCCGCACCCTACAATTCGACACGGTCAGTCCTATCACCCCCTGACAAATTGGTATGGTAGAACTCACGAAAAGACAGCGCTATGATCTGCGGGAGAATGACAATTGACAGCCAGGCCGCCACGGCGTACTGGAATCCGTTCATGCTGCTGATCACCACCGCGCGCTGCTCGTTGTTGTCGGTACATACTCCGTTGGGTTTTGGGTTTAAGGGTTTATGCATCTCAACGGTGGTTTAGTGGCGACAAGGAATCAGATAAGAGGAGTCCATGCGTCAGCCTGCCGTTAGGCCAGGGTCTTCCCAGCCATTGAAACTAGGGCTATCCGGGAAAACGCTCCCATGGAGGCTAGAGACTAGACTTACTCGTCCCCTCAGTGCAGGCCCTCTTTATCTGTTTTTCTGTCACGCGAATCTCTCTGGATATGCTTTAGCAGACAGCATACTGGCTAGCTAAAGCGTGGCATGGTAAGGGGTGCTACCAGTGGCATTAGTGCTGACGCTGTTTTGTAGAATGCTATGGTAGGACATCGATTCTTTCAAGAAATCTACAGTTAGACCAAAGAGTGACTCTACATTGATTGTAATAACAAGAAATTAAAGCAGATGTAGAAGCCGAATGAACGCCCGGTGGATAAGCTAGAGCTCGAATCCTTTGACGAGAACCAGGCAGCTGGATCGACCCCAAATCTCCTAAGATGTCACTGTCTTAGTCGATGAAGATGCTCTGCACGTATGCTCAAAGTGCATTGCAGCAGTATCGCGTCCCCAGTGCAGCCATTACCGCAATTTCCCTCGAAGTATCACGACGCAGTACATCAGTTTCCCATTATATTCAACGCTATTGGGCTCAAATCATTTTGCAAGGGTGTATAGCATTTACATCATACCGGCGACGGGTTTCATCTGCTGAATAAGGTAGGTTGCATGATTCCCATGCTGTTTCATTTTCTGTATATCCGTGGATAGTTATTCCATTTCCTCAAATCGACGAAGGCTTCCTCAGGCTTCCTATGATCCACACAAGCCATCAACAGGGACCACCTACGGAGTAGGATTCTGTCCACATTTGCGCACATCCCTAAGACCTGACTCTACTCCGGCCACGGGAGTTGGATGACCTCAGCCATGGTAGGCGAGTTCCAGTGCATCTCCACATCGAGCCAACGCTGCAGGATCTCGCATCTTGTTTGAGCTTGGGAGTTGAAAGGCTCCGTTCTGTCGTTCCTTTTCATTCATGCTTTTGGCCTGGCTGGATGTCAATTGAAATAGTGGATGATTTTCCCATTTAGGATGTCAGATCTCTTTATCCTGACTACAGGGAGTAGTAGCCGCGCGATACGTGGTAGTTGGAAGGGAGGCAGACAAAACACTACGATCGACACAGAAAAAGCACATCTCTTACAGCCATGCCGTAAATGCAACATCCTCACTAATATTAATACCCTGAACAGTAAACGTCACAGAATCTGACAGGTGAAACATAAGTGAAACCCAACTTGTCAGGAGTCAAGCCATCCGGACGCCATCCGTATTTCCCGCGACGCCCATCCACTGTTTCGCCAGCTGTTAATCTTTCATCCGCTTAAATTTGCCCAGCACAGAAGAGAGGCGTTTGCCAAGGCGTTGCTCTGTGATGGCAACGGGCTGAATCTTGGTTCCCCCGATGAATGGATTACTCTAAATTAATGTCACATCTGGTGCGTAGCAAATGGTTGGTCGGTGGTTGGAATTGTATAGCGCTGGCAAGTACGAAGGCGATGGCAAGCCTACGTCAACTACCATGTACTGTGGGTATGAGACTGCAGTGGCAAAATGCTTTTCACGCGCGGCAATCTTCTCCACTGCTGCTGTGTCAGCTGCATATATTGCATCGCATAGCATAGCATAGCATAGCATAAACCCCTGCCTGCTGATCGCTGGGTTCCGGAGGCTCGAGATTCTCAATGATGCATGATGATGCACCTTGCCACGGTCGCATATCTTCTGCACCCATGTTTTCGTTCTGCTTTGCTGTCATTTAAGAAGTATTTTGAATGTAATAATGGATGTAGCACGGTAGAAACCCAGAAGTTTGGTCTTGTTCGATTTCGATGAGGGTATCGCTGCAGGTACAGCAGCCTCAGGTAGTTAGGGTTGCCGCAGGCGAAAATATATATATCTGTCCATACTTTTGAGCTCAGGCATCTTGGACCTACTGAAGTATACACAGCACAATCTGGATTCAAAACCCCGAGTATTCTGATTCTATCTTCTACGGTGCCTGGATGGTATATTGTATTGTTTGATGCTCTTCTACTAGTACTACATACAGCAGCCGTTGTGCACCACACCACATTTACACATCCATGCGACCGACACGGTCGACCTGGCAAAACCGTAGACTCAAGCCCACCTCCTATCACGGCATCAACACCCGAAAAAGTCACCGGCAACTGCCGTAAAGATAAAACAAGTTCTGCGCTTAGGAGGAGCCATCAGGAGGTGTCATCAGCAGTCTCAATTCCACGTGGTGAAGCGTGGGAGCAGATCTCGGCAGCGCATCTCGGCAGTGCATCTCGGCAGCGCATCCGAATGCGACGATTTAGGCGATCAGCAGTAGATCTGATGCCCCCCAGTTCTTGCGATAACAGCGATATTCCTCTTGCAATTAGGTAAATCCTGCAGCATACTAGTCAGGATCCTCAACAGAATGCCCAGCAGTGTGCATTTTCCGCGGGATTTTTCTCTCGTGGAGACCATCAACCCAGCAGTCAAAATGCAGCAAAACAGCCACCACCACGCGAGATATCGCAGCATCATCCTTCCTGCCCGGTTTTTCAATGGAGACTGAGTCAAAAAAAAATCAATAGTCGAAAGCCAAGCTCATCCACCACGTGTGGTGCCATGTGGTCATCTCCACCGGGGAGAGCATCATTGGTCTCGTCTCTCGCTTGAGGGGGGAGAAAGACGGAGAGAGACGATTAAGACCATGGTCCAGCTGGGACTGTCCACTATTTCCAGAAGAAGGTAAAAGACGACTAAGGTGTAAAAGAGAGTAAAGAGAGTAAGGAGAGTGAAGAGAGTAAAGAGACTAAGTGGTGTTAACTTTCGTTAGCACGAAGAGTAGCTAATTTGGTGGCCTGGAACGGGGGCTTTTGACTCGGCAGGCGAATTCGGTGTACCGCCCGCCATGATTTTCTCTCCTCGTGCGAACTCCTTAAATACTCCCTCCGAAGACCCAGTCTTGGATCTTCCCCCCTTCGACCAAGCATTTAAATCCTCTGCAGATCATTTCATCATTAATCACTGAATTGATCGTCGCTGTCAACATGGGTTTTCTGCAGAAGAGTGCCAATCTGGCTCTGAGCCTGGGTGCGACCGCGCTGGCTCTGGGCTGTGCTGCCGAGGCTGCGCCCAGCGTCACCACGGAGCAGGGCGTTGTCTACGGTTTCGCCCAGAATGAGACCAATGTCTACCTGGGCATTCCCTTTGGTCAGTCCACCGCTGGTGAACATCGCTGGAAGGCTCCCAGACCTGCTGCCTCCTATGAGGGGGGTAGCTTCGAGGCTACCGCCTATGGTCCCACGTGTGCCCAAGCCATGTCCGGCACTGCGATTGTCGCCCAGAGCGAGGACTGCCTCAACCTGAACGTCTGGACTCCGCAAAATGGCTCTGATCTGCCGGTCTTTGTCTACGTCTACGGTGGCGCCATGGTCACTGGAGGCAACAGCAATGCCCAATGGCAGGGATACAACTTTGCTCGCAAGGATGTCATCTACGTCAACCTGAACTACCGGGAGAGCGTGTATGCTTCTCCCAACGCCCTCGAGCTGGAGGGCTCGTCGAAGACGCAGAACTTTGGCATCCTCGATGTGGAGTTGGCCCTGGAGTGGATTTATGACAACATCGAAGGTGTGTATTGGACTCCAACTTTTCCCACGTGGTGAACGAACGAACACCCCCCCCACTGACTTCACGGACAGCCTTCGGAGGTAACAAGTCGCGCATTGTGCTGGGAGGTCACTCCTCCGGTGGTGTGCACGTTGATGACTATCTCTGGAACCACCCCGACACCTTCTTGGCTGGTGCCATTGAGATGTCGGCCAATGCTCAGTCTGGCCCGGCCATTACCCCTGTGGGCGTGGGTCTCCAGCAGGTGGTGCAGGACATGATCGATGCCGGAGTCTCCCTGGACTGCACGGCTGAGAACTACACGTTGGCCTGCCTGCGCAAGGTGGATACCTACGACTTCCAGACCAGCTACTTCAACTCGACCTCCAACACGTGGTTCAGCCCCGTCGTGGATAACATCACCCGCTTCTCCAACTACACGGACCGCTTCGTCAACGGCCACTACCCCAAGTCGCTGCCGCTGATTGTCGGGAACTCGGACCAAGAGGGCAAGATCTTCGGCTATGTCTATGCCTCCGAGAACACTAACTTCTCCTCGTGGATCCGCACCTTCGATGCGGATCTGGCCTTTGTCCCTGCCGACGAGCTGCTCGCCGCCTATAACTCGGACGACTACTCCTCCGTCTCCTTCATGAGCGGTGCCTCGTACGGCGATGCCCGCTTCCACTGCGCCACCGACTACTTCCTCGACCTGCGGGCTGAGGAGCAGAACACCTGGATCTACCGCTGGTTTGGCAACTACTCCAACGTGCTGGGTGTCGCCGACATTGGCCCTTCCCACGGCAGCGAGGTGCCCTTCTTCCACGGCGGCAACGAGTGCTTCTCTAAGTTGACCGGGGTTACTGCCGCTGAGCAGGACCTGGCTGACTACATGAACGACTGGTTTGTCGCTTGGATCAAGAACCCCAGCGCAGGACCCGGCTGGGACCAAGCCACCCCGGTCAACGGTCCCCTGGCCCTGCTGGGTGTGCCTGGCAACGAGGAGGCGATTGAGTCGGCCGAGACTGGCACCTACAACCAGCGCTGCCAAAACACCTACAAACCCAACTACCCCAACTACCCGGTGGTGCTGAACCCGGTGGAATTGGCCGCCAGTTCCTAGAGTGGGGAGGGAAGAAAATCCGTTAATTAGGGGGGGTGAGAGGAGCCATTGTGCATGGCCAAGCAGCACACCAGCCCTTGTTCTAAATACATAATTCTCTTTCATTTCGTCCAATTCGTTCATTTTTTGTGTATTAACTTAGACTTTTCGCTTCGCATGGTGGGATTTATTCGTCAGCGGGACACCTTGCATGATTAAGCCAGAGGAACTTGTTTTAATTTACGTGAATCAGACCATGCTTAACCTTTTTCTGCCCTGATCTCCGATCTGTAGAGTGGGATTCTGCAAAAGCTGCTTACTCCGTTCTTCCAGCCTGTCAGCTTTGTGCAGATGGCCGGAGAATGAGTGCTGGGTGGATTCGAGAAATCAATAGTGCGCACCCTGGTGGGACGACCCGCCATGCATGACCTGCATGGCCTGCATGGCCGGCATGTCGTGCAGCGATAGTTCAATGGTGTACTCCGTAGAATGACGGACGATGACCGAAGGATGCAAGGGAGGTGGATTTTGTCTCAGATGGAGTGGAGCCCCAAGCCCTAACTGTGGGTCGCCGAAGTTTTGCCACCGAGCAATCACCGTCTTTTCCAGCGATTTCTAATCCCATATGATCGATTCTAGGGCTTTCTGCCTCCGATATACTACGGAGCAGACGCTTCAAGATGGCATGGTCCACGATGGTCCTAGACCCTCGGAGCCGGAGCACTCCTTGTCCAGGACTGGTGCTGTGGTGCTCATACCACCACCACATACCACTAACTACACACCACTATCCCACACCATTGAATTTCGATCCAGGTTCACGCCGCTTCCTTCCCCCCCCCCTGCGGACCTCCCGGATCCAAATTCTGCCCATTGCTGGTTCCTCCAAACAAACCGCCACAAAGCAGCTCCAAGCATGGGATAAGGTTTTCCCAGATTGCTCCATGATGCAAGGCAAGACTTCTTCTCCTTTGCGCCGGCTAATCCCGTTGATTGAGATATATTAATATTTATTTGGGGCAGCTGCAGCAGCTGCAGCGATGCTCCTGCATCCCTGTCTGTCTCTCTCGTGGTGTCTTCCTGCGAGGATCGCGTGTAGTCGCCATGGCCCGTCCAGATGTCGGCCAAGTGGTAGGTGCTCACCGACTGGGTGGTGCAATGTCTCAGCTGCAGGGGACTGTGTGATTTGGATTGCTGACGCGGTGCATGTGTGTAGGTCTCGTGGTACATTGTCACCATCGTTGCCTGCTTTTTCCTGGCGTGTCGACTCTGGGTACGATGGCGGTTACTGAAGCGATGGTATCTCGATGATCTGTTCGTCACGGTCGCTACGCTGTGTCTGATCGGGGATCTGGTCATCCAGCATTACATGTTCAATCTGGGTATGTTATGGCTGCATAGACCTTTCAAGAAATCCTTCCAGTTTCCCCGCTGCAAATCCACCTGCATGCCGAGTGATCCGTGCGAGATCTAACCCAGCGGGCTCTTGTAGGCATGTCGGATGCGGCCAACATGAACGCTCAAGAGATGATCAACATGATGAAGGTCAGTTTACGGACAGTCGGATCACGCCCGAGTCTCAGGTGCCCCTCCGGGCGTCCCCATTCCCCCCCCTCTGGGCCCCGATTCGAAGGATGTGCCCTAAACGTCTCCCACACACCCGACCTGCGACTAACGAGGCGGTGGTAACAGATGATCATCCCCGGATCCACCCTCTATGTGACCACCCTCTGGCTCATCAAGGCTAGTTTGGTGATCTTCTACAAGCGGCTGGCCGATCGCACCCGGTACCAGACCGTGTATAACATCACCTTGGGGTTCTTGGCGGCGACGTGGCTAGTCCTGTTCTTCGATATCGTCTTTAAATGCTACCCTCCGTCTCGCCAATGGAAGAGTGTGATCGACGCTGAGTGTGAGTGATGTGTGGAGTGTCTGGTGGGATGGTGAGATCGTACTAACGAGGTTTCCCCTGGGTGTAGTGGCCTGTCCGGATAAGCCATCGACGATCAACTACTGGCTGACCATTCTTTGTATGCACCCTTCCCCAGCGGCGAATCTCCAATTTGAAGTGAAGACTAACTGTGCGCAGTCAACATCTTCACTGATGTCTTCAGTAAGCCCCCCCCTACCATCCGACGAACTCGTCACCCACTAACCCGACCAGTCATCTGTCTTCCCATCTCCCAGGTGGCCCGACTGAAGATGCCCCAGAAGCAGAAATGGGGGGTTATCTCTGTCTTCCTGCTCGGTGTCTTGGTCGTCATCTCCAGTAGTACGTATTTCTCCCTGCCCTCACTACCCAACCCCGGCTCATCTTGCTCACTGCACAGTCATCCGAGCCATCTACTCCCACCTCAACGAACAAATGATCATCTGCACCGTCTCCATGATTGAAGCCTCCATCGCCATCATCGCCTCCTGCCTACCCGTCCTCCGCACCCTCGTGTTTGGCTCCCACTCGCGCACGGGCACCTACAGTGGCCGGCGCGGCTACGAGCTCTCCAACTCGGGCTACAATACCACCGGCCCTACCAGTAAGCAGCGCACCACCGTCTCCGTTACCCAGACCGTCCACACTCCGGACGATCTCTCGCGGCATGATTCCGAGGACGGGCTCGTCAAGGACACCGCTCTGGGTCATGGCCATGCCGTCTTGTCGCTGGAATCGGGCGCCGGGATTGCCGTCACGCGCGAGTATTATGTGCATGAGGGGGAGGCTGATGGGAGTAGCTTTCGCTAGGATTCCGGGTGATTAGGAGGGGGTGACGCGGGGATGGGGATGTAGGGATGGCATCCTATCTACGTTCTTTACATAAGTTACTAATTTCATATCTCTGACCTGGACTTGGTTGCCGTGGATTGGTGAAGGTAGAGGACAGATAGGGTGAGAGTCGCCACGCCAAGGGGCTGGGTGCGATCGAAAGGCCGTTCCAACTAGAATGGATGGTCTGTGTTTCTACCAGAAGGGAGTCGGACCAGAGAATCCAATCGTACTCCTTCTCGCAAGATCTGTTCCCATCCATCGTAGTAGTAGAGAATCACCGCACCAAAGTCGGGAGGAGAATGGACAGCTGAAGAGATGGGCAGGAAATGGATCGACTTGCCGTTTGTCCAGGATGCCTTTTCTGAACAATGCGTTAATTCACGCTGGATGCGCAGACCCCCTTTTTCTATCTCCATCATACACAGCTGCATTGTCTACGGGCGATGTGGCAGCAGACACATTCTGATTCATTCTCAGCCCACGCGGACGCTCTTCTCCATGTAGGAGGGCTAGGGCCTGTTGTGCTGGTGGCGGATATCCTCGCCACCAAACACGGTCTACTCTGTTACGGATATGCATTGGTCTCATCTCTTTTACTGGGATAAACTCGAATGATTGTTTTTGGGTTTTACTATTTCAATTAGCTGACTGGCGTGGATCACCATCTATCATCGTCTGCGGCGACGTCGAGGTTCTCCTCTTCTTCGTGCGACTCAACCTCTACGCGGACTGGATGATTCTCCATGTCCTCAGTCCACATCAAGAGTTCCTCGCCTTCGTTGGAATTCCCCTCGTCAGGGCTGGCTGGGGCATCGTCCACCTCGGTCGACATGGGTTCGTTGTCGCCGTCGGGGTTCTGGTCCGCATTGTCTTCGTTGGCTGGGTTTCCGTAGACGTCGTTCCATGAAAAGGCGTTGTCCTCGTCGGGGGATCCGCTAGCAGGTTCCATGATCAAATCTCGCAGTCGCTGGTGCTGGATATGGAGGGGCACCGCGCGATACAGCCACAATTGGCGACAGTATGGACACCGCGGAATCTCCCAACCCACGTCGCCTCCGTTGCTTTTGAACCATTTCTCGATGCACTCCGCATGGAAGGCATAGCCACACTGCAGCCGACACCAGTCCAGATCGTCCTCGGAGACTCCCAGCAGCGGTAGTTGGCAGATGAGACATTCCTCATTGTCCTCGATCGGGCGACGACCCGCTGGTAAGGTGTCTAGCCCTACGCCCTCAGCTGCCGCGCGGTCTAGAAACTCTTGCACGATGCGGCGGATTATCCTTTTGACCCGTGGATCAGCAAGACGTGGCGCACGATGGCAATAGAAGTCAACCAGCCCATCAAGCTGTTTTTCAGGGCACCAGAGATCCTCGTTCACCAGACTCTGCAGGATACATACCCTGTCCTCGACCATCTCGTCGAACAGACGGCTATACCGGGCCCAGGTCTTGGTGAGCAGTTCGAGTTTCGCCCGCATATGCGCACAACATGGGCCCTGTTCCGCGGGCGCCTTGGAATAATTCAGCACCGCCCAGCACGTCCCCACGAAATTGAACAGGCCCTTGTCAATGACCCCGAGCCGGCGGGTGACTGGGGTGTCCGCGGGCTTTCCCTGCGGGAGCTCATCCTCGAAGCGGCTGTAGAGCAGCTCGAATTTGTAGGACCAGTAGACCCGCTCGTGGTATTCATCGAGCTGTGCGAAATATTTCTCCTTTTCCGCACCATCCAGTTTGGATAGCACGTTTCCTCGCATTTGTCGCACAAGGCTGTTGTAATCCATCTGGGAGAATCGAGTTGCGCTCCACGGGTGGATTGAGCGATTGCTTGCAGTGACATCTGGATTGGAATTGCATTATATATCTTGTCTACTCAAGAATAGGACAAACCGTTCACTCCTTCATTACAGAGGAACTTGCCTTTGGCGGCATTGCTATTGTGGAGGATTAAAAGGTGGATTTCATTTCTTTATTGTTGATTTACCGGGAGATTTGTTGAAGACAGGCTACAGTGTCCATATGAAGATATGTAATAGTGTTACCCCCTTGAAGGTTCTTATTCGTTGGTTCCTTCACTTAGTAGTTATAAGATATAAAGATCTCTAACAAATTAAGAGTTCTTTGCTTCTCTTTTATCTTCTGAGTGAATATCTAGCATCCTTGCGGTTCTTCCGGCCGTGGTTCTGGGTCCCCTGTAATAACCGGGGGGTTGCTTGGGGCAGGCAGGCTGCAGAGCAGGAACCTGAGGGGAGTGTGAAGATGGTGGATTCCAGGCTATCTGGGATGAACTGCTATCTGACTCAGAATTTGAGTCTACTGATAGTATAATTTATGGTTCTGCATTTAACATAAGGGGAGTATAGAAGTAGAGGTGAATTTATACAAGGAATAAAGGGGACAGATATGATATCACTATGTATATGTTATATATCCGCGCGGGTAGCACGACACAACGCAACGCGTGTAGAGGAAGAAAAAAAGAAAAAACAGGAAGAAAGAAAAAATTATATACATATATACATATATATTAAGTCTCCAGTCTTCCCACATTAAACCACCCTTAAGGTATGGTGGTCGTGGGCGGTGGAAGGTCGCTAGCAGGTGTAGTGGACCAATCAGAGGCTGAATCCATACAGGGAACCTATGATGGTTCACCTCCTTGGGAACAAGCAGGCTGAGATCAAGAGAGATCATTGTGGCGTGGTTGTCCAGTAAGGCTTCAATCAATCCTTGGATGAGGTCTTGCGCCGATGTTGAGTTCAATTGTCATCGAAGCACTCGAGACTGCAGCCATTGCACCAGAATGCGCGGTGTTGTAACCGGAAAGTAGTGGGAAGCTGCATAACCCAGGTGAGAGGATGCTGGGGCCCAAGCATCCATCCAGACTCGCCAGTGCCACCAACTTTAGTTCAGTCCTTGAGAGACAGAGTAAGTATGAAGAGGCAGAAACCATGCACCGAGGAGCATTGGAGGGAACTGAATGCTGAGGCCGGAGCATCCACATACACTTACCAGCATTGACAACCTTCGGTCTGTTCTTAGTTTGCAAAGAAAGTATCAAGAGGCGGAAGCCATCCACTGAAACAAGTTCAAAGACTGAAAGTAGCTCTATGCATTGATATGACTGTCGTCCATCCTCGTACCGATGTGCTATTCACATACAATCGGCTCCTTGGCTACTTATCTCTGGAATCAGTGTTTCGTAAAAGAGGTTTCTAGGGTTCCGTGATCATTTATCCTGTCAGTATCAGTTCTATTTTACACAATGTTGTACTGTACTGCCGTATAGCCTGTACTTGGTCACGCATCTGAAGACTTCGTATTGTTTTCTTGTTGATACGTGACTGCGACGGCGCAGTTGTAAGTTACAGCGCCTCGCTCGGGTAGCTGCAGCACACTATTGATGAAGGATGATACTATTGCCAAAGATATTTTAGCTAATAAGACCCCTGGCCATCTATCCAACTGCTATAAAGACTGTATTTTGATTCCGCAGTAATGTCGGTTACTTTGAACCATCAAGTAACAGCTGAGGAATCAAAAGATTCGCTTCAAGTCGCCATGCCCTGAGTTATCAAACGCGCAACACATTCTCCTTTGAGACGACAGACTAAAGCTTGAAGGAAATGGGTTGGATTTCCAAGCTCTCAATAAAAAATAGTTCGTAGTGCATACCTTAAATGGAACACGTCACAAACGTGTTATACTTTCACCACTATATTGCTCATTCTTGCCGGCAGAACGGCAGGACAACTGGTTTCGAGAATGATATATAAGATCTGCCACTCTATAATCGAAACATTTCACGGGCTACCCGCAGTGAGATTCCCACAATACAGGGGCAGTCTTTGACGTAAACCTAAAGATGATAGAAAAAAGGATTCTGGGAAAGAGGCTGGGTGATCGACATTGACAGCCTCCAGATCGCCAGGTCTGCAGGGGTATTTCACGCAGTTCCCCGAAGCACGGTGGAGTGGCCGGCAGACCCGGAACGTGTGTCACACGGCCCTGGCTCTGGCCCAATTCGAGGCTCGAGGCAACAATTCCTATTGATTCTTATTGTTCAGAGAAATAATGTGGAAGAGGTGGTGTCAATAAGAATGATGAAGTGAAGTTAATGAAGCGAGAGAGAAAGAGAAAGAAGCAGAGCTGCCCAGAATGATATGCATTGTACGGTGGGTGATTTGCATTACAACACGCAGTACATCTCCGTGGGGGGTAAGTTCTAGTGTATACATGGTAAGAGAGGAAAGACCCGGTTAATGCAGTAGGTTTACATGATACCGTACCGTACTATTACTATCTCTATGCTGATTAATATCATCTTGCATCTTTTCTCTCTCTCTGTCTGTCCCTCTCTCTCTCTTGATAGCAGTTGGACTGTTCATGTGATGAGTGGACTGTCACTGCATGACGGAGTCCAGGGCAGTGAATAATGAGATCACGTGATATGTCACACCTCGCCTTTTCGCGTCTTTCGACTGGGGTTTGTTTTGTTCCTCTTCGCGTCTCTGTCAGGCTGCATCACCGACCACAGACATGACATCCGACACTTGCAGCTCCAGCGGGGAGAGTATCATGTCCGACCTGCCTTCGGAGATGCTGGCAGCTCTGGACGGGATCGAGACGACTGCCGCTTTCTCCTCCTTTGGGAAGTTCCCCGTGGTTGATCCGGGGATCCACGTTGCCGATATCGGCCATATCTACCTGCCCTTGAACCGCTCGCAGGCTCAACAGCTCATCACAAAGGCCCATCAAGCCCCCTATGGCAAAGGGAGCGAGACCCTCGTCGATACCTCGGTGCGCAATACATGGGAGTTGAACTCGGATCAATTCGAGCTGCGTCGACCCGACTGGAATGCCCATCTCAGGGAAATCGCCGCCCGCGTGGCTCGAGACCTGGGAATCGAGTCTCGTATCTCGGTCGAATTATACAAGATGTTGCTATACGAAAAAGGTGCCATGTTCAAGCCTCACACCGAGTAAGCCTGTCTCCCATGATCTACCAGGTCATTCACAGTGATGCCTGACCGACTACGTACGCTCCACTAGCACGGAGAAGGCCCCGGGGATGGTCGCTACCCTGGTGATCGGTCTGCCATCTGCCCATGAAGGAGGCGAGGTCGTGGTGAAACACCGTGGTCTCACGCAATCCTTCAAACTGTCCAGCACCCAGTGCTCGTATGCCAGCTGGTACTCCGACGTGGTGCACGAAGTGCTGCCGGTCACCTCGGGCTATCGGTGGGTGCTCACCTACAACATCACGCTGGATGGTGCGCAAACTCATCGCCCAACAAGACTTGCGCGCCCAGACGCGTTGTGCCTGTACAAGACAATCAAGCACTGGGCTGAACAGGACGGAGAGCCATCAGACCACTTCTGGTACAAGCTCGACCACGAATATACACAAGCCAGTATCTCGCTGAAGGCGTTGAAAACGCGGGATCTGGCATGCGTGCAGACGCTGGACGAAATCTCCACCAAGGTGCCCGTGGATATCTTTCTGGCTGTGCTAGAAAAGCAAGAGATTGGGAGCTGTGCATATGATACATACGACTCTGGCCACCACGGCTATCACCCGTTCGAGGAACTGATTGACGCAAGCTATGAGGTCAAATCGTTGGTCGACCTGGACGGCAATCAAGTGCTGAAAGGCAGGCGTCTGGACCCGAGTGAGATTCTCCAGGCCGATTGCTTTGAGGATCTTCCGATAGCGGAGGAATACTACCAAGGCTACCAGGGAAATTGGGTCAGTCATTCTGACCAACTATACCTATGCTTCTAGTATCTTGGCTGATACCGAACCAGGGCCCAGAAGCAACTCATTGGTACCGAGTGACGGTAGGTCCCAAATTAAGTGACGAGGGTCGCGCGGGCTAATTCCACGCAGGCAGTGGCGATCGTAGCTCGACACTCGACCCCGTCGTTTCTCCTAGGATCGTTGGCGAAGGTCGTCAATCCGATTATGGGGCCCGCCTGGGGTAGAGACGATCAGAAGACCATCAGCTGGGTTGTCGACTACTATGCGAAACGCATCATAGACTCCGACTCTGATACTTCCCTGCTGCAAAGCTTCAAAGAGCTGATGTCGATGATTTGGAACATGGATGTCAAAACGCCCGAGCCACGGAGAGCCCCGTTCTTGGGGGAGGATACCACGATGCAGGTCCTCAAGGCCGCGGTCAGAACCCGAGATGGGGCGTTTTTCAAAGAATGCGCCCAGCGCCACCATGGAAAGCTATCAGAGGGATTCTTCACATGGGCTCAGGAGCAACTGGCCTCCGGACAGATCACTCTCACTGAGGTCCAAGACGGGTACGCCCCCTGCCTCCTCCTGCTCGTGTATGAGTCTAATTGACTGCAGATTACGGGCTGCGGTCTTTGCCTACCCTCTGTTCAGGACCCGATATGCAGCAGTGGCGCGCTTGTTGCCTCTGAACAACCCGATGCCGGATGAAGTTCGCCGCTGGGTGCACGAGATGAACGATCAGTTACTGGATCCTCAGGGGCAGCAACAGTTGGAATACCAAGACGGGGTGTTCCTAGTACTTATAGCCAGGGGATATTATGGTGCCTCCTACGCCTTGACTCGGTATATTCTGTCGCTCGCCGCCTGCTCTTGCACTAACTCCTTTCCAGCATTTCCACGTTTATCAACCACACGCGTCAGAATCCCTGCTTTGTTATCGGCGTGCTATCTCGGATGCATGAAGATGTGAAATCCGGCCACCTGCCAGAAGCTGCAGGCATGGCGATCTTTCAGTCGACGGCACACAAGCTACTTAGCAGACTCAACAGTTCTAGTTTCAATCTCACCGAAAGCCCACCACGTCCGACACGGAGACCAGACACCGTGGAAGCACGTTACCGACGGCGATACGAAAGCAGCCGGCCCGCTGAACCAGAGCCAGCGAACCCGGCGATTTTCGGCCCGCACTTCGCAAGCTTCGCCCGGGCCCTGATCGACTACGAGGGGGAAGACAATCTCATCGACCGTCTGTGGCAGGGGATCATCTCGAGCGCCACAAGCATAAGCGCTCCCACATTCCAAGCACTGTGGCTCCCCTTTCTCCACGCGATGATCCCATTCTACACCGACAACCCCGAACACCCTTCACGACCGCGCTTCCACCAAGTCATCGCCACCCTCCTCAAGGCCTATATCACCACCTATGTTGGCCCTCGCCCCGTCGAGGATCCCTCCAACGTCCGGCCGCAGCAGGTCACCTGCTTCCTCCGCGAGAGGGGGGGATGCAACCTCTGCCCTCAACTCAATACCTTCCTACGCGATCCCACCCGAACGGAGTGGAAATGGTCTCTCTTCTCCAGCGAGAGGGCGCACATTCATCAGGTACTAGATATGGGAGGCGTGGCCTGCACGCACGTCACCGATCGTTCGGTGTTCTCGAATTCGAGCTACCAGGGTCTCGTCTTGACGAAGACCTTTCCCCACGCGGCGCAGACCCAAAGAGCCTGGGCGCAGCGGAAAGCCGAAGCGGGCAGGAAATTGCATGAATTCCGTCCGGCGGATCTGCGGGCCGCGCTGGGGCCAAAGTATTGGGATATCGTGGAGATGCGCTGTCTGGAGACGCCAGGTAGGCAGGCTGTGGGTCAGGGTGTGGAGGGTACAACGAGTGCCACGACCGCCCGATCCCACCCACAGCGACAGGATCGGTACGCAGGTTCCAGTTCCTCGGTACTGCGCAAAAAGAGGAGCGCCGCTGAGGCCGAGATTGTGGACCTTACGGGGGATTATTGAGACGATGGGTTTACGGTTTAAGCTGCGGGCCAGACGGTTGGAGTGAAGTAAGAAATGATCCTTTTGTATGCTAGACCATGCATGGCTATGTCAAGGGCTTGGTGCGGTAAACACCTTTCGAATAGAGCAGCATGCTGGCTGTTGCTTGTGTAGGGCTACGCGATTGCACTGCCTGGAAAATTGACTAAGTTAGGGTTGGAGTTCAGTGAACACCGATATTAGCATCCCTCTGGTGTACAATCATGGATACGAGCAGATTAGTCCTCCCTTTTCAATTGGGAGAGACCTAATCCGAGTGCAGGGAAGATTCACACATTTACCACTGGAGGGAGATGATCTCATGAAAAGGTATTTCATACACATTCACGGATAGACTCGTTGTAATTTCACTTCTTCCCCTGGTTGCAAGCTTATAACCCTCTTCGGCCCCTGAATCCTTCATCCATCCACCCCACCCTCGACATAGCGGCCATCATGAACGCCCTCATCGTTCTCATGCTGGCAACAATAGCCTCTGCTTTCTGCCCCCATCACATCTCTCCTCGGAGCGGCAACAGTGTCGAAAAAACCCCTTCGACTACACCCAGCGAGGGGGCCCGTTGACATGGCACGGCCCCAATCAAGACACCAACACAGCCTGTGCCACCGGCAAACATCAATCGCCCATCGACCTCATCACCAACGAGATAGAGTGCCTCGCATCCGGCGGTCCTACCATGTACCTTCCCCACAGTTCATCGAGCCACATTGACAAACCTGAGCCCTGGACTCGAAGTGGCGTCCAATGGCACTCTCTAGGTCAACATGAACCACCCATACCAGCTGACGCAATTCCACTTTCACACTCCCAGCGAGCACCGGGTCGATCAAGAGTACTTCCCCTTCAATTCGTCTTCCATGACAAGCGTATGGCTTCATTCCCTCCTGCAAAACCCAAGCATTGGTTGACGCCGTGCAGATCAGAACCTCGCCGTGGTTGCGTTCCTCTTCCAGCTCGCCGAGTCGGACATCACATTTCCTCTTTTCGATTCCGTCTTCGCTCATCTCGACGAGGTCACAGCCCCCGAGACCTCCACCGAAACCGGCTCCCTGGACTTCACGCAACTGACGGGACATCTCGATAGTCACCGGGCTTGCCAATATACCGGCTCTTTCGCCACTTCCCCGTGTACCGAGGTGTCATTTGGTTTATCAGCACCGAGCCGTTGCCGTTGACCGTGGCGAGCTACAACACAGTCAAGCGGCTCCTCAAATTCAACGCTTGGTAATCAGAATACGCTGGGTGAGGATAATTTGCTCGAGGTGGCTGCGCAGGTCATGCCTTAGCTCTACTGTGTACGGTTTTGCTAAAGAGGGTTATGTTGGCATGAATGGGGGATGTTGTAGGTGACAAAGTTCCCAGTTGGAGGAGTTGAATGAAAGGATATTCTGCATTGGGACAATTACAGGGCCAAGATGTACACTCGCAGAACCAGCCCAATTGCTCATATTCTTCTCAGCATACCTGGAACATCATATGCATTGGCTCACGCGAGCTGTATGTGACACGGCTTAATGCCCCGACTATCATGTGCGAACTCGACTCGCGACAAAGTCCCCGGGGAAGCCGTGGCATCTATCGCTGGTAACGGCGACTCATATGAGACTGCATCGTTCCTCTCGCGTGGTCTGTTCACCTGCGATGCGCCGTTTACGCGCGAGATTCGTTTCTTCGTTCTGCCCTACACCCGATTGCCACCCCCTCACAATCAACATGCTGTCACTCAAGGTCCTCTTCGCCGCAGTTCTCCTTACAGGGACCGAGGCTACAATAGAGTCTCGATCCCGCCACCTCACACAGGGCGTGTTTGGGGTCGACGCCAGCTTCGACTATGTTGTGGTTGGCGCGGGCACGTCAGGGCTCACCGTGGCAGCACGGCTCGCGGAGCAGCAACTCAGCGTGGCACTGATCGAGGCAGGCGATTACTACGAGACCATCTGGCCCCTCGCCATGATTCCTGGGGCGGTCATCATTGGGCTGGGCTCCAGTCCGCTTGACACGACCCCGATTGACTGGAACTTCGTCACGGCCCCGATCCCCGGCGCCAACAACCGCAAGGTCCATTACGCCCGGCACAAAGCGCTGGGAGGATGGTGGATTCCCTTCCTGTCCAGGAGCATCACAATACTCACAATACTAACCGATGGTCCAGCTCCGTCTGCAACGTCATGATCTACCAGAGGTCCTTCCCATGTTTGCGACTAACTGCATAGCCACGGCTAACCGGTATAGACCCGACAATGGCTCACTGCAGCGCTGGGCCGACCTCGTCGACGACCAGAGCTACACTTTCGACCAGCTTCTCCCCTTCTATCAACGTACGCCCACCTTCCACCCCCCGCAGAACGAGCGTCGACCCCCCAATGCCTCCGCGCAATACAATCCCGCCGCATACTCGCCCGCCGGCGAACCGCTGCAAGTCTCCTTCCCGATCGACAGCATCCCGTTCTCCACCTGGATGGTGCGCGGGATGCAAAAGATCGGCATTAACCCGACACAAGATTTCAGCAGCGGGAACTTACTCGGGGCGCAATGGTGTCCCTTTACGGTGCGTCCGTCTGATCGCACGCGCAGCAGCTCGGAGGCGGCATTCGTCGGCTCCAGCGCAGACCGTCTGGCGACGCTGACCCTGTACAAAACCACGATGGCCAAACGAATCCTCTTCAACCGCGACAAAAAAGCCACAGGGGTGGTGGTCCGCACTGGACAATCCCATTACACTCTGCACGCGAGGCACGAAGTCATCGTCTCCGCAGGGGCCTTCCAGAGCCCGCAGCTCCTGATGGTCTCCGGCATCGGCCCCTCCGCAGCCCTAACCGCGCACAACATCTCGCAACTCGTCGACCTGCCCGGCGTGGGCCAGAATATGTGGGAGCATCTGCTGTTTGGGCCCTCCTACCGCGTCAAACTCATCACCGGCACGAAGATCGCCAACAACTACGCCTTCGCCGCCGAGGAACTCGCCCGGTACTTCAGCCTGCACCGGGGGCTGTTCACCAACCCCGGGGCAGATTATCTCGCGTGGGAGAAGATCCCAGCCCCCCTCCGTCAGCGCTTCTCTGCGGCCACGCAGCAAATTCTGTCGTGGTTCCCCCCCAGCTGGCCTGAAGCAGAGGTAATAAGCCCCCCTAATATAATGTTTCCCCCCTTTACCCACCCCCACCACCAACACTAACCACCCACCGACGAAAACAAGTACATCTCCTTCCACCTCTACGTCGGCGACCTCTCCTCCCCCTTCTTCGACCAACCCAAAGACGGCTTCATGTATGCCTCGATGATCGGCAGTCTCGTGGCCCCCAGCTCACGCGGGAGCATCACCCTCGCCTCAGCGGACACCGACACTCTACCGATCGTGCAACCGAACTGGCTCGCCACCGAATCCGACGCGCAACTCGCCGTTGCCATCTACCGTCGGATACGGGAGGCCTGGCACAGCGACGGAATGGCCCCGATCGTAATCGGAGAAGAGTACTTCCCCGGCCCGAGCGTGCAGACCGACGAGGAGATCCTGGCGGTGATCCGGCAGACGGTCATGACGATCTTCCATGCGGCGTGCACGTGCAAGATGGGGACGCGGACTGATCGGATGGCGGTGGTGGACCATCGCGCGAGGGTGTTTGGCACGAGGGGGTTGAGGGTGGTGGATGCGAGTGCCTTTGCCATTCTGCCGCCGGGGCATCCGCAGGCTACTTGTTGTGAGTCTTTGTGTGCTGTATGAAAAAGGGGGGTGACTGACTGTGATGTGTCTAGATATGTTGGCGGAGAAGATTGCGGCGGATATTATACAGGGGCACGGGGATGGAAGTGGGGATGATGATGGGGATGATGATGGGGATGGGGATAAAGGGGGAGAGGAACAGCGTCCTTGACTGGGATGGTTTCACGGCGCCACGCGGAGATTTAGGCTTACTAGTATTGAATTGTGATAATGATAATGACGGTGAGGAGCTCTTTGACATACATATCTGTACTGTACATGTTCATCCCTTGTGATATGAGGTGATTCTGGATATACTTATTGAGCTGGTTGACTGGAGGGCTTCATGGATGAAGGCTGGATAATGTACCTTTGAACCTGGAAGACAGTCTAAGTTCTATCTTTTCCAAAAGCCAACAGACACAAGTACCCTGTGCTATAAGTGATGAAGGATAAGTACTTCTGACTGATAGCCACGCGCCGATCATCGGCAGATGTCACGTGCTACCCCGCTGATCTCCATCTCTCTCTCTCTCTCTCTCTTTCTCATTCTCACTCCGTCATCATCCAACAACAATATGGCAACCAACCACATCGTCATCATCGGGTGCGTGGGGCAACCTTCGTCAATTCTCTAAACTAACTGTAACAGCGCCGGAGTCTCCGGACTCACCACTGCCTATCTTCTCTCCCAGGACCCCGCCCATTCCATCACGGTAGCCGCCAAGCACATGCCCGGTGACTATGACATCGAATACGCCTCTCCCTGGGCGGGCGCCAACTACTCCCCGTACGTCTTTTCCTGCACGTAAGCCTCGACTGAGTAGGACTCTACTCACCTTTACAGAATGGGCTCGCCCGGCAGCAACCAAGCCAAATGGGAGCGAGAAACCTGGCAGCCCCTGCAGGAGATAACGAAGAAGCACCCGGAAGCGGGCATCCACTTCCAAGGTACGTCCTGGTAATCATCACTCAAGCCACGCACCTCCTGCATCCTCGCAGCCACTCATTAAACCTCCCAGACAACGTGATCTACAACCGCACCAAAGATCAAGAAACGGCGACAGGCAAGAACTTCGCCGCCCTCATGAACGCGGAACCGTGGTATCGCGAGGTGGTTCCTAACGTGCGCCGCCCCTCCCCTGCCACCACAGCTCCTGATCTAACAATTGTCAGTTCCGCGCAATGCCTAAAGAACAGCTCCCCCCCGGAATTGACAGCGCCCAGACCTTTACCTCCGTCTGCATCAACCCAGCCCTCTACCTGCCCTGGCTGGTGGGTCAGTGTCACAAGAATGGGGTAATCTTCAAACGAGCCGTCTTTCAACACGTGGTTCACGCCGCCAAAGCCCACCACTCCGGCCTCACGGCAGACGTCGTCGTGAACTGCACCGGTCTCTCAGCACGAACCCTTGACGGCGTGCGCGATGCGACAGTCTACCCCGGACGGGGCCAGGTCGTCGTAGTCCGGAACACACCCGGAAAGATGGCCGCGCTGTCGGGGACGGACGACGGGGAGGAGGAGCTGTGCTACATGATGACGCGTGCCGCCGGAGGGGGGACTATTCTCGGTGGCTGTTACCAGGCGAACCAGTGGGATCCGCTCCCGGACCCTAACCTGGCGGTGCGGATCATGAAGCGCGCAATCGCTGCGTGTCCGGAGCTTGTTGCGGACGGCCAAGGGATTGAGGGACTGGATGTCGTCAGACACGGAGTGGGGCTGCGCCCGATCCGCAAGGGGGGACCGCGAGTGGAGGCGCAGTCGGTGGAGGGGGTGGCGGTCGTGCATAATTACGGCCACGGGGGGTTCGGATATCAGGCTTCGTTTGGCTGCGCGGCGGAGGCTGTGCGGTTGGTCGAGGAGAGTTTGCGGCGGGTCTCGGCCAAGTTGTAGGAGATGTGTTGGCCACCTCAGCTATAAATTCAAATCCACTGGTGATACCCGAGTCGACACGCAGCCACGCCACTAGCCTAGTGTGCCTTCTGCGTGGGTTCACGTGAAGTGCCTACAAATTTTCTTTTCCCTTTGCCAAGTTCTCTTGTCTCCAGCAAAGCTGCACGTGCAGATATGGAACGACAGTCTTCCGGATGCACTGGGATGAACCATCACACGTGACACAACCAGAGCCTTTACCGTAAGGCGTGTCTTCAACCTAATCGCCGACGTGCTGTACATCTCATCCGAGAACTACGTCGACTGTATTCTCGAGTCACATGAATGACCCGAAGAGGTAGACGAGCCGATTGCCCTTGTCCCCCCAGCGATCCGACATGTTGCCTTGCCGAGATAATTGTTCGTCAGGTTCACCGGGCTCTTCCACGGTCTGTTCAACCACTTTCAACGCGTTCAAACAGTCTATGTCGTTGAGAATATACGCGAGCTGGATCCTAGTCATAGACACAAAACCGGTGGCAGATTGAGCCAACTACCGCAATAATCACCGGATTACACCCACAGACCCTCAACCCACCACCCTAAGCTCACAAACAGCACGCACCGCTCCCTCGACATCCAGAAAATCATCCGCCCTGCGTGCAGGCCTCCCCCACCGCACCACCCCCTGCGCATCCACCGCCCAAAACCCCCCCGCCTGCCAGCGACTCCCACTCTCCGTGTTCCGATTCCAAATGCCCCTCTCCCGACCGAGCTTCATGATATTCACCAGCGCAGCCAGACTCAGCACGTGACTCCAAGAGACCACCCCCAAGCCCCAGGCCGCATACAATCGACGCTCCACATCCACAATCACCTTGACTGCCCCCGGCCCGCCGACGGCGTCCACCCAGCGAGTGGTCGCGGGTTCATCGCTGTGGGAGATAGCAGTAAAATTGATGTCCGGGTGCTGGGAGGCTGCTTGTCGGAGGTTGCGAAAGTCCGCTTCCGCCACTGGATATAGTGTATACATGTTAGTGGTGATGTACATACTTAGAGATTAGTTTGGGTGTTTAAAAAGGTTAGAGGTTTAGGTGCAGACCTGGACATCCGCAGTGGCGCAGGAACAGGATGACTGTGGGGTGGCCGTTGGATGCGGGAATAGGGAGCTCGGGGGATGACGGTGCGGGGTGATTGAGTTCCGGGGGAGTGGCGGTGGGTATTATCCCGGGGGCTGGGGTGAGCCAGGAGGCGAGTTCGGTCGAGAATGTCATGGTAGGTGTACTGTATGTGTCGGTTCGACTAGGTATTGATGATGGATGATGTGGACATGATTGTGAAGGCAAATGCGATGGTGGATGTTAACAACGGTTGGTGAACGATGATGCGGGAGGGGCGGGCCGGACGGTTAAACTATCTTCCGATAGTGGGTTTGCCCTACTTTATTGTGGTATCGACTGACTCTATTGGAGGTGAGTAGAGTGCTGTCAGCCTGTACTGTACATCATCCTAGCAAATGAGATGAGGATTAAAGAGTGCGGGGTGCAGAAGGATTATCCCTCGACTTTAATTATGGCCCAGGCCAGCCGTGCTCGGGTTGAGGGGCTGATCGGATTCCATATTCTTGGCTTGACGGTAGTCGGAGGGCTGTGCACTCTTTGACAGTAGCTTTGGTCTTTCAGAACTACAGCTGGACTAAGAACTGGATACTCAATAATCGAAGACTAATTGCTCAATAGCCAATCTCAAGCTTGGCCCTCGACAGCAGCAGATCCTGTCCAGAAGTCTGCCGGGCAGACTTCAACTACAGACGGTCCATGCGCCGCTATCGATGACTTTATTTCTCTCATGACGGGCCCTCATTGTGCAGCGATGCATATTACGATCGTCAGCGAGCAGTCCTTTAAACAGTACTTACTATACACTCTCTCACCGGACAGCTGCACCCGTATTCGCCAATTACCCCAGGCACAAGCAAAGACGTTGCAGAGACCTCGGATTGCGAGGGGTAGCTGTCTGACAAAAGCATGAAAGGCCCCTATATCGCCCCGTTCCTCGTCCCTATTCATCCCTCGTCATCGTCAGCACTTTCTGTCTCTTTACTCAGATGTAGAGCCTGTTGCACTCCTCTCGTGTGGTTGCGCATGAATCGACTGGTGTTGGACGAAACTCCCCTCAGATGCCAGGGTCATACAACTTACAACAGCGATCCGGTCCCGAGTTAACCGTAGTTGAAGCACCCTGGCATCCCTGCCGTTGTCTGCAGGTCCTGTTATTCTGTAATACCGCACGATGCGCTGCATTCGAATTCCACCGGGTGTCTTTGCACAATGTATTGTAGCACAGCATTCTGCATGAATTCAATTCTACCCCACTTCAACATACATAATCCACAGTTCCAGGTTCATTTATGCTGTCTACCCGTCTTCGTAACACCCCATCTGCACCACACTTTCACCCAACCACAGTTCTACCGGGCTGCTTCTCACGAGAATCTCGGGTTGGGTGTGTTGCGCCCCAGTCTGTTCCTGCGGCCACGACAAAGCGTCGAGAACTTTAGGGCTACGGATCCGCCCGACCAATCATATCAAGCCTACGCAAGCACACCGTGTGCCCTGCAAGCAGTATCTACTTCGAGCAGAGCTACGATTAGTTGAGCTTCCTGAGTTTCAAATGGTCAGTGACAAGTTTTGTTCTTTACTACTATCAAGGAGATTGTCAACACTCTTTCCTGCCCATCCCCCCCTTATGGCGTAGTAGAGGGTGTTTTCGCCTCAAACCCTAATTCTTCCGTCGGGGTGGAAATCTTCATTCGTGCCTCTGCATACCTAGTCCACCATGAGCAATCATGAAAGCCCTAGAAGCAGACAACATCCCAACCATCCTAGATAGCCCCAAGAAACCCAAAAACCCAGCAACACACCCCTACGAAATCACTATTCCCGCAATATCCGGACCTGCACCCAAATTAGCACATCCCCACATTACCAAACGAAACCCAACTTACAATACCCCCCCTCAAACGCCCCAAAACTAATCACATTGTTCGCCCCCTCGTTCACCACCGCATTCAACACACTCGTGCTCAGCGACTGCGGCCCCCCCGAGGGCAAAAACGCCACAACATGCGTCACCCCGTTGACACTCACCGCACAGTACCGCTGGGTACTATCCCCATTCCCGTAGGAGATCTGCACGGTATTCTCCCCCGCCGACGAGAATGCCACCTCGCTGAACGTCAGGGTTCCGTTGTCGGGTCCGCCGAGATACCCGACGATCTCGGCGCTGCAGCCGGAGCAGGAGAGGGAGACGGCGGAGCCGGAGAGGGTGCCGTTGGATTTGGAGCCGTAGGTTGTGGTGGCGGAGACTGGGGTCCAGGTGCCGTCGGCGACGGAGGGAGTCCAGGGGGAGGAGGTGGTCTGTATTATCATTGTTCGTTCAGATTAGTACACCGGGGGCAATGTGACGGATACTTGAGGTGAGAGGGTGCCTACGAGCGAGGCGGTCGTGCCGGAGATGGTCAACGGGAGCCAGATGTAGGTGGACGCGGCGAGGTCGGTGGAGACCCAGCGGTCGCCCATGTACCTGGTAGTCGAGTCAGTCTTGCCACTGTCTTCCCCGTCTCTGCGAATGGTCATACATCACCAGTCCGTTGATGTCGGCGACGAAGCTTGTCTGCGAGTCGTAGGTGTCTGAGCCCGCCGGTGCAAAGTCCGCCCAGTCGGACCATGGCTGAGAGGGTTAGCAGATGTTCAGCAGCAGCAGCAGTAGCAGCAGGTGATGTACTCCGGATAGGTTCGTAGCGGTAGTGTACTTGTTATCATTTGCGCCTGGGGCTGTCAGTCAGGACTTTCCCTTGCAGAAGGGTCTTACGTACTCCACCCTATATCATCCGTCAGTCAGTACAAACCTCACTACCAGCGGGGGACAACCGACCTGTCAGCTGACTGGCGAACATGAAGTACGTATCGCCGGTCTTATACACGGCGGGCGCTTCGTAGTCCGCGGTGAAAAGATGAACGTTGCTTTCCACGGTCAGGTAATCGGCCGACAGGCGATCGATGCGCAGACCATTCTCCCTCTGTTCACGTCAGACAGGTCTCGTCAACTGCATGATACGTACGTCTTCAGTCAGGAGGTAGCCGGTCCCATCGGTATCTAGACATCAAATTAGCAGTCAACCGCGAATCAACCTGCCGTCCACCCACCTTTAAAAAGCCCCAAATCCCGAGACTGGAAACCAAGCGGCTGCGAGGCATTCCTACGTCTACTTGTCAGTACCAGCTACGCGACTGCGCCCCAAATTACATACAGATAAGTATAGTCCCCACAGACACTGGCGCTCGTTGCCACGCCCGCCCGCGCCTCCGCGTAGCTCGAGTCGTCGATATGCATCCACATCACATACTGCTTGGTGTTGTCGTTGTAGATGACCTTGGGCCGTTCAACGATGCGGCTGGGTCCGAGGTCGCCCGAGCTCTGCAGAGTCAGGAGTTCATTCTCAAAGGTCCAGTCCAGAAGATTCTAAGCCCGTCAGCCCCAATCACCGTCCCTGTCTACTTCAACCCTCGCCCACCCACGCACCGTGCTGGAGTAGCAATTAATGGACTGGAAGCTCGCGCCGGCGGTGTGATTCTCCCCGATTATGTAATACACCCCGTCTGTCTCGAAAAGCCCTAAGTTAACTCCCACATTAGCCAGTCCGCCGCCACACGCGAGCGTCTCGCTGGATAGACCTACCGGTGCCATGAGCCTGGATATGCTTGTTCGTTCCCGCCGCCGTCCACGTCGCGCCGGGGACGATATCCAGTGAAGCGGACACGGCCGGCGCAAGGGGCAGCAGCTGGACGAGGAGCGCGACGAAGCGTGAGATTGAGGTTGAGGGTGACATGAGGGCGGCTGGGGGCTGGACTTGCAAGATAATGCAGGGCAGAGGCGACGACAGCGACGACAGCGAGCTACTTGTACTACTGCGCGATAGCGAATGACGGGGGCTGTTTGGCTCCTCCGACACGCTCATGTTGAGTTGATTCTTGATAGGCGGAAAATCTGCAGGCGTCGATCACGTTCATCACATCCCTCTGCGGGGTCGTGCAGCGGTGCGGGACCCCAATGTTACATCGTCCATCCGGGTGGCATGAGTACTGGTCTTACTGGGATCGTCCAGTGGACGATTTATGTCTCGGTTGAATCATGAAAGATCGTGTCCCAACGGGGCTCCGGTCGGCGGAACGGGGCGATCCATGAGGGAGGCGCGTGTCTGCCCCAGCCGAGGCTGCCAATCATCCTGTCCGCTCAGGTGAAGCAGAAGACTGGGGTTGCTTGAGTACATGGACAATTGGCGTCCTAGAAAACAGACGAGAGCAGCGAGAGAGAAATGTTCTGTCTGTTCTGAATGGTCTGCGAGGGGGCTTGAACTGAAGGTAAGTGAAGGTAAGAGGAACAAGAGGAATGAGAGGAACGAGATGGGGAGATGAACGCATAGAGGAGATGGACAAGATGGATAGGACGGAGAAGATGTCTGAGTGAACAAATCCATACATCTGCCGTTGAAAGAATCGGATGTAGTTTCGCGGCCATCCAGTCATTCCTCCTGGCCAACGAGATGGCCCAAGTAGCGCGGGGAGATAGTATGCGTCGTCGACGGTACTTTTTCGGGTTCATTACTTTGGTCTCGCTCGGATCTTAAGACTACTTTCCAGGTTGTCATGTTTGGGGTTCACTGACTTATTCGACATATGCTTATGTTGCTGCAGAATGGATTTCCAAGTGCTTCTTCTACCTTTGGCCATCCGCGCTCGTAGTCCTCAAATCTGTGTCTCTTAAGCTTGTTAGAGTATGAGTGGTGCTACTAGGGCCCTGTCTCGCGCGGTAGATCCTTTGAATCGCTTTCATGGGCTTTCATTTGTAGGGCTTTGTGTATTTCCCGCAGCTGTAATTTTCTGAGGGATGAAAAAAGAATCTCCCCGACTGGGAGTCGAACCCAGGTCTCCCGCGCTTGTTCCCGGAAGGGATTGACAAGCGGAAATCATGACCGTTAGACCATCGAGGATGTGTACATTAGATAGCTGGAATTTATCTTTTATGTACCTAAGCATCACTTGGCTGGAAACCCCTTTACCTCGTGACTTGCTTACACATGACCCAGCACCTTCCCTTCGCTCACATCAACTCTACCATTCTACCCACCCCCATCCACACGCTTTCATTAGTTTTTCTCTTCGTCTTGCCTGGTCCAGAACAATAGAAACCCCTGGATGCACTATGCAGATGATTGCGAAGTACGACGCCGCCATATCAGCTTGCTCCTCGGTGGAAGTCGACATCGCATCATTCGAGGTCAGGATCGTCCATACATTTGTTTCCGCGGTGGAAGCAACTTGCAGGATGTGAAGCATCACCGTATCCAGTGGACCGCTGCGCTCTATAAACATCTCAGGGCTCATTGACATAAATTGGAACTTGACTTGTCTACTGTGGGGATACGGCCGTGAGCGATTGTGACATGGAGGGTCGTCAACATCGCTGCTTCTGTGCTAGAGATGACGTATCTCCCAATGATCGGAACAAACGTCCCACGCACGGATCCACGCGCCAGCCGACCGTGACAAGCATTAGCCCACCCCGATCATAACGCCTTCACCACCACCGCGTCTAACGTCGCCTCTCCCTCGCCGGCCCCTTGCGTCAACCCATTCATCATTCTCGTCCAGATCCCGTCGCTCACTCGACCCTGCACCCAATACCCCGACCGACGTCTCCCATCGCCCGCGAATGACCGGGCCTGGCACGTCGTTAACCCATCGTCCATCCGTACCCCCATTCTCGTCAGCAGTTGACTCAGCTGCGTGTCTCCCACCACCCAGGCGGGCTTCGTCCCCTTCACCTCGAGATCATACCACGGGAGATGGCTCCACGACGTTAGCGCCACCCTTGGCGTGCGCGAACCATACCCCTTGGGCACCGCGGGGGTGTTTCGCACAGGAACATGCTGTCCGATGATTTGGGCGACGCAGGCAGGCTCGCGGGCCTGCTGGATGGTCCGGCGGACATGTGCCGCGGTCTGGACGAGATTCGTGGTGGCAACGGGCTCGACGGGAACGTTAATCCACGGGTTGGTCAAGGCGCCCTTGACCGAGGCCAGGTGGGATTGGATATTGAGCGTGAAGATGAGCCCGGTGTGGGCACCCTGTGCGGTTGCAGCAGGGGTGAATATGGACTGCAATCAGGCAGAAGGGTTAGTCCGGGTGCTTCAAAGCCACAGACCGTCAATGGAGGGACGCACCTGGTACACGAACGCCATCAGTAAGTCATGCTCCGTGACCTGGACGCCCTGGCTTTGCGCTTGGACCATCCAGTCGTCAATGCACGACTGCGGCACGAAGAGCATCTTCCGCACTCGGCGGGCGGAGGTCGGACACAGCGCCCAGAACCGCTGTCGCAGGTATGCAGCCAGGAAGCTGGCCCAGCTGACACGAAACCCCTGCGAGTAGCGCGCGGCGATTGGGTGCAGGCCGTCGGCGGCCATCTCGGCTCCCGCCTGGATGACCTCGGGCTTGAGGAGGAAATCGGGGCGTACGGTCGGGTGGTGGTGGTGGTGCGTGCCTGACAGGAAGGCACAGTAGGTCTCGGCGATCCAATGTACGCCTACCATGGGTTAGACAACGAAACACGCGTAGGACCCTACGGCATGGGTAGGAGAGTCTACCTCCCGCGTCGGCTAGTGCATGCTGAACGATAAAACGCAGAACGCATGCGTCTCGCAGATGAACGGTGCGGATGGAAAGGGCCCGCTGGCCATCATGCTTCGACAAATTGGACTGGAACAAAGCCTCCAGAAGCTGGGGATCGTAGAAGGCAGGGGACGGCACCTGCGACGGCACTAACTCCTCCAAATCTCCGTCGGCAGTCGTGGCCTGGAAGATGCCCGACCGCCCCGCTTTCTCTCTGCGCCCCTTGGTGAAGGTCGAACGCTGAGGTCCAAATCAGCGCGAACTGGAATTTCTGGGTGTATGCAGAGGTCACCCACCGTCCGATCCAACCTCGTGGCCAGGATCGGATACTCCCCGACCATGGCCTCTGTAGCGGCCTGACATTCCTCTACTGTCAGGGTGATTGGTAACACCACCGTCAGGAACACCTCGAGCTGCCGGGAGAAGGAAAACTCCAGCGGCGAGAGCTTCATCTGCTGCTCCAGTGACTCCCCGGGCGGGGAGGGGGTCTGGATGGAAGTCTCTCGTGGTTGTTTCTCCATCCTGCGTGTCGATGGGCTGTATGTCCATACTGGTCCAGCTGAGCGACCGGCCACTCTATATAAATTTTCCGGCCGGCCGCTCGCCAGCAGTTCTTGCGGGGCAGCGTAGACAAGAAAAGGGGCCAGGCCGGAGCTCGATGTAGGCAGCGGCGATCTGTTGATGTAATTTCGTTGTCGCGACCAGCCGGTGGGGCATACGAGTCGCCATGAGGCATGGCTTGCCGTAGCTTTGATATTCTTCTGTGGTCAATTCCAGGTACTTTTGGGACAATCGACAGCCGTACGGGATGCAGTCCGCTTCTTAATCTGCCCGCCGCTGCAGCCCTCACTTATGGACGCACTAGAAATGATTCCTCTTATCCAAACCGCACAGAACCCAAAACAAGTGCTGATCCCTCCGGCAGCGCAATTCGCCTCGAACCAAGGAACCATCTCTCGAACTCTTGCCTTGGCGTCGGGTGATCGGTAGGGGAGATTGCCTCTTTGAGGGTCGGTGGAGCCCTCAATCCTGAATCTCGGAATGATCATCGCGAGCTGAAAGGGTGACACTGATTCTGCAGTGCCCGGACTCCGAGTTGGATTTCCGAGGGGGACGGCCAGGGCAGTTGGTGGGGATGAGGGCTTGAAGAGTTGTTAGCGTCCCTGTACGATACATGCATGCATATGCATATGCACACACCGATCTGCACCACAAGATTCGTTGGATAGTACTGCACACAGATTAAACCTCTCCTTCAGTGGATCGGTAGCGACATGGATAATCGGGGTGTGTTTACATGGTGTTGCAGAGAGATGCGAGATTGACGTATGATGATGTTGGGCAGTCTTGGGACCACCAGATACGTCCCAGAGATTTCCCTTGCTGAACGTTGTCAACAACCTGCGCGGTGGTTCTTCACCGATCGCTTCGCGTAAAACACATCTCCAGCAGAACATCCCTCCATTCAATTCTATCTATAAGACATGTGAACATAGCTTCTTCCTGTGGTTCTCATGCACTAATCCCGGTCTCTGGGTACCACCATCATCCCAACAACCAGTTGATGTACTGTATAAAGCTTGATCAAATCCTTGATTACATAGAACAGCCCAAGCAAGTTTTATCTAATTCAAGTTGATACCAGGCGATGAACAGCTATTCTGCCAAGTAGATCCGGTTCTATGAGCTTATTTCTTGGTAGCATGCACACAGTCAGGCTTGCTCGCTCGCTCGCTCGTCGGAGGGAATCTTGTACCCTGTCTGCTCAGAAAAAAATTATATTATTAAATAAAATCATGACAATGTAAACCTTCGAGTTAACAACTTGGCAGATTTGCCAGATGGCGGACAACAGAACAGGATTTCTGTTGCTGTGTTCTGCATTTGAGTTCAGTTCGTGACCGGTTCGGGGGTAACCTTAGGGTTACGACGACAGGGAATCACCGGTCAGTTCCTCGATGGGAACCCGTCGAGATTCGGATGGTTCGAGACTACCGACATGCAGATCTATGCAGAAAAATGTCCTTTGGCCATTCTGATCCGGCTTGTGATCTCGGGCGGGTATGGACAAATGTGGTGAAGGAGATGGGTGTGGGGAGCGAATCAAGGGGGAGCAGCTAACGTTACTGGAAGAAAGTATCTCCAGACTAGTGGTGTGAAGCTGAGTATCTGAAAGAGATTCCACATCGATGCTTTACTTGTCAGTACTTGCTATCTGTACGTTGACAAGAAGACATAGGGGAGACGGAAGACGCTAGCATGCGAGACATTCTCACTGCCAGATCGCATCTCATTGAATATATGGTATCAAAGACTACCGTTCGAAGGAATACTTCTAGACATATGAACCTTAACCAAGCCCCTTGAAAACATCATGGCTCTCAACAGATTATCCTAATCTCATACATCTGGTTGATTAGTCGAAGCATTTCCATTTCTACAGTAGTTGACGGCGGGTTTTCTGCGGCAGAGGAACACTTAGCGGATGATTGAACAAATTGCCCGGATCGTACCGCCGTTTTACACCCATCAAACGCGGTAAATGCGGACCATAGAAGCTGGCCATCATCTCGTTCCTATTCCTCCCCTGATCGAAGTCGTCATCGCCCAGGTACGTACCGGTCCGGACGGTGGAAAACAGCCGATCGATCCTTCCAAGCCAGCCACGCTGCAGCTTGTCTGCCTCCGCTCGTGCCCCGGCCTCCCCATATTGCCCGACCTGTGTAAACACCAACATGTCCACGAACCATGTGCAGCCGCGGCATCTTACCGATGTGGTGTCTGTGGCTGGAATCAGGTTGGGATTCAAGGTCAAGAGATGCACGCGGACATCTTTGGTAGGCTGAACCTCCACAATCACCGCTAGCTGGTCGAGAAAGCTGTCGCGGAGAGGGTCAGGGATGTACCCTGATTTGATCTTCACGTAACGTAGATGCTCATTCCCTTCTCGCTGAAGATCTGACAGACTGCTATACCAAGGGGCTGATGTCTGGTTCTTGGCTACATCCACCACCGATCCCAACAAGTCAAAGAACTCCATTCGGGTGCTGCTTGGAGCAGGAAGACTCGAGAGCACATCGCTCCATATAGTCTCGCATTGAGCTTTGGAATCTTCCAGCAGAGTCCCGTACAACTCAATAGTCCCAAACCAAGCCACCAGCATTGCGTTCAGACCTTTAGGGGAGGAGAGACATGCGCCATGGGCGGCTTTGAGAACGGCCGCGACGTTACAGTCGGCTATCTTCCATTTGATCGAGAAATTCGCAATGGCCCGGGGAATGTCGTTGGTTTTGAGTGTGAGAGAGGTGATCACGCCGAAGGAACCGCCGCCCGAGCCGCGTAGCGCATAGAACAGATCGCTGTGCTGCTTGTCGCTAACCGTTCGTATCTCCCCGTCTGCAGTCACGACCTGCATTTCCAGGACCCGGTCAACGAGCACTCCGTATGTGCGAGAGAAGAAGCCGTACCCGCCACACTGAATTTGCCCCGCGATCCCAACAATGGGACATGTACCCATTGGCAGCATTTGATTGCCATGCTGTGAGATATGTGTCTGCACTTCTCCTAGCAAGGCACCCCCTTCAACCGTCACTTCTTGTGCGTCTGCATTGGAGTGAATTCTCCGCATCTTAATCATATCTATCACCACTGCCCCATCTTGTCCTCCCAGACCCAAGCCCTCGAACGAATGCCCTCCTGCACGAATAGTCACCCTGTCCACTCTCGCGCATTGAACTGCGCGAGTAACAATACTGACGTCTTGTGCAGTAGAAGGTCGGATCACCGCTCGTGGCTTGTGCTGGGCTCGGAGATTCCAGGTCGCGATGGCACTGCCATACTCAGGGTCTCCTGAAACGAGTATCTCGATCCGGTCGGGCAAGATCGACGACAGCTGTGCTTTGATTGATTTTTCTGTCATGTTGCAATCGTGCTCAGATGATCGGTGCCACAGGTTGTGTTACGATCGGTCTTCTGTATAACAATAGTAGTTGCGCAAAAATGGCGTGTATTTGTCGTCCATATTCTCGTAGGACATTGTCCGCAAGACCGGAAAATATTCATAGCACATGGTCTGGCGGGCTACTGGCAAAGCCTGACTGTGGCAATTCAAGCAGGCCGAAGCAACAGCAGGCATCGATCAGAAACTGTAAGTTCTGTCCTCGCAGTTCCCTCGGTATTCCGGCTGAAAATCAATAGTGAAAGTCAGTTGCGGGAGAATAAACCGGATTGTGCATCCTAGAATCTATCCATGCTTGGAAAAAGCCAACCTCAACAGGGAACGACTGGAAACCTGATAAGGTTGGGCCCACTTTGGAGTAAATCTTCTTGCCCCCAGATAGTCCTGTAGACGCAATTCGGTCAAAACTACATCAGAATCAATCAGAGTCTCTGTCGCGCTCTTGTCGCAGTATATTTCTGCAACGAACTCAGCTTATATGATGTTGCATCCATCCGAACTTCACGGACAAGATCAAACTCAGAACAATGAACGGCGATACTTCAGAGGAAAAGCCGGTACCTGACATCATGCAAGACCTCGATGGTGAGATCAACTTGCACTGGAGACGTATTGTGCAATTACTAGCAGAGCTGATAAAAGTCTCAAGCCCAAACCTCAATGACCAAATCATTACACATGCCACTTCCGAGGACATCACGCAATTGCGCCACTGGGGCAGCCCTGGGACTCCGCAACCCTTGGAGAAGGCGATTGAGGAAGCACGCACAATCTTCGATTATCGCATTCGGACCAACCATCCACTATTCTTTGGATATGTCCCGTCTGGCACCGTCCAGCTGAGCTGGTTGGGCGACATACTCATCTCCGCATTCAATGCGCACACCGGAGGACGAAAAGCCGGTTTGGGGGCCTGTGTCATCGAGGAAGAAATGATCAAATGGCTTACGACCAAGATCAATATGCCAAAGAGTGCTGGAGGCATTTTCGTCTCTGGTGGGTCGGTCGCGAACATGATGAGTATTGCAGTGGCGCGCGATCAGAAGCTGGATCGTGGGGAATACGACCGCGGAGTCATCTACATCAGCCAACGCGGGCATTTTTGTGTCTCCAAAATGTCCCGCGTGCTTGGATTCGAGAGAAGCCAGATTCACGAGGTCCGATGTAACGATGCTTTCTATCTGGATATCCATGACCTGAAAGGACAATTGGTCGCCGACCGGAAAAAAGGACTCGTGCCCTTCATGATAGTCGCCACGTGCGGTTATACCGAAACCGGCGCAATTGATCCAATCGGCCTTCTGGCCGAGATTGCGCATCAAGAAGCGCTCTGGCTTCATGTGGATGGGTCGTATGGAGCTTCTGTCGCTCTGTCGCACTCCCACTCGCACCTGGCTGCTGATTTGGGGCTAGCCGACAGCGTCGCCTGGGACGCACACAAATGGCTTTTCTCCTCTTATGGCTGTGGTATGGTACTGGTTCGCGACAAAGATCACTTAGCATCGACCTTTGGAGTAGAGTCTCGACTGAGTGTTTGTCATGCTGGTGAATCAAGCAGACAACTTCAACCTTGGGATCTCGGCGTAGAACTCACCAGGCCCGCTCGAGCTATAAGTCTGTGGTTCACGCTACGAGTATTAGGAGAAGAGCGAATCGGCAGAATGATTGACTATGGAATGCATGTGGCAGAGGAGGTCCAGGCCCAGCTCCAGGCTCGAGAGGGGTGGGATATTCTCACGAACGTGAAGCTAGGTGTTGTCATCTTCCGCAACAATCCCAAAACCAGTCCGGAAAGAGATCTGGATGCAATCAACGCTGAGATTTCAGAAACCCTGCTCAAGAACAATCACGCTGGCATCTTTCCTGTTGACGTGTCTGGGGTCAAGTACCTTCGAATGTGTTGTATTACCACGCGACTTCATGAGGAGGATATTGAGAGACTAGTTGAAGAGATAGACAAGACTGCAAAGGAGGTCGGCAGAAAACTCACCTGAAATCACTAGAGCGACTGTAAGGAGGCACTTGACATCATCAACGCATTTATTCTTGCTCAAGCCATAGTCTTGGTAACAATACTCTCTTCACCACCATTGATCACATCGCCAAGCCAGCCTGCCTTGCGCTACCTCTAGCAGCCTCACGCCACAATCTCTTATTCTGGAACAATCGGAACATAGTAGGAAAACTTGTTGTCTGGGTCGTACTCGGCCTTCACTGCCCGTAGTTTCTCCAAACGCCATGGCTCGTACCCGTACACTGACTCTAAAGGTTCCCAGCCAAACGCGTAGTTAACATTCACAGTTGGCAATCTGCCAGGCTGGCCTTCCATCAACAACTCGAGTATGCCGTTGGCTAGTCGTTTCGCGGGTTCCTCGAGAGGAAGATTGGGTGGGTATGCGGGCATGGCAAGTCTAGCTTATCCGTCAAATTCCTCGGTTGTATGTACAGGGGGTCGCAATGGGTCTGGATCTTACGCCAGGATATTGTCAGCACGGTGTGGAAATGCTGAGCTGGTTGCATCAATAGCCCGTATCGCTGCCGGGTTATATACCTCAAGTAAGAGGATAGATAGCTTTAAGGCAGGGTACTTCTTCAGATACGCATTGAATAATTCGTAAACTTGTCGAAACGCAGTCACATTAAACTGTTGCAGGCCAGTCGTAGACATCATTTTGGAAAGCCCCTTCACGCAGGGTAAACTGAACCTGCCGTTACGCGTCGCAGTATCCATGGCGGGATATGGGACGGCGCCCCCGACGACATTAATCGGTCCAAGATTATTGAATGGAGTGAGATACTTTTCCGCTTCGCTCTCAGGGCCCATGTAACTGAACGACCACCAGAGAACGGCCTTGTCTGTCAGCAAATTGCAAGGGACGTGGTTATCAGAAATATCAGAAAACTTACATCGGTCGTGCTGATTAACGAGTTCCACTCGTAATGTCCGAAATGAAAGTCCAGTTCGAGCGGTTGTCCATTACCTATCAGCTTATTAAGCTCACTGAATAGGCCCTCTAACTTGTCTTTGGTGAAGAAGTAGTTTCGGAAATACCACGTCTTGGTTGGAGCCGGGTAGACTTTCAACTCAACACTCGTCACGACACCGAAGTTATGACCAGCACCTTTCATGGACCAGAACAGGTCGGGGTGAGAATCATTCGAGACAGATATGGACGTTCCATTGGCGAGGACAGCATTGAGTTGCACCAAGTTATCGCTCATCAGGCCGTAGAGCCCTTGATACCTTCCGTGGCCTCCACCGAGAGCTGGACCAAGATGTCCGATGCAAGCGCAGGATGCCGTCGCTACAAAGAATCTAAGTCAGCTTTGTAGAACTGCGGAAGTACTGGACACTTACGAGTAACAAATCCCTCTTTCCAGAGCGTGTCCACCAAGTTTTGTGTTTCGACACCGCCTTGTACCAGGGCAATTTGCCGCTCATGGTCCACGGTGATATTGCTCAAAAGGTGGATGTCAATCCCCAGACCTCTGAAGTTCCCTTGAGTCATTGGCCACCCATGGCCTCGGTTAAAAGTGTAGAAAGAAATGCCATTTCGATTCGCGTAGTCAATCTGCTCGATGTTAGCAAGTAGTCCCCCTCATGAAGCCGAAGACCTACCACGGTGGAGACATCGGACTCACATCCAACCTCGGCAATGACTGTGAATTGTGGAGGGAGGTATTCCTCATATCGGAGAGTGGCCCTCAACCATCGAGGATCTTCCGGTCCAAAGATGGAGGAGGACTCGCAGAGGAGTGGGCCGAGTTCAGTCTCGATGTCGAACGCTGTCAGCTCAGCCCGTGTCATGAGACAGAGGCCATCAACGCAGCTGGTCGACGATGCATGGTCAAGGAACAATAGGTAGGTTGAAACCGTAGATGATGAGATTGAGGAGCTGCATGATTCGCATGAGTATCGGGTGTGCTTATCGTTGAGTAAGTGCAGGAGGAAGAATGTCGAAAGGTATGGGAGGTAGAGAGATAACGAGGGGAAGTGCCTGGGTTGGAAGGAAGTCGGATCTGTCAGTGCGATTACGCTCACTCTTTCCCCCTCGGATCCTTCCACATCATCAAAAATTAGGCATCATCCCAAGAGGTTTCTTGTTATGTGACAGCAAAGAAATGGTCTGAGCGTAGATCTGAGAAGTGTAATTTCTGGTGTCCATCATTTGTGGTACAGGCACGGTGATGACCACCCAGGCATTAAATATATCTTCAATTGCCTCAGATCGATCAAAGAACTTGGCAGGCGAAGTATTGAGGACTGCACATCAGCGTATCGCACATAGCACAGTAAGAGCTGGCTAGATAGCCTGGCAAGACCAATAAATATATCTCAAGGGTTTGTTCGTCGATGCAAGTTACGAAGCAATAGGTGTAGAGCACACAAAGACATCATGTGATATTTGTATCTCACTGCTGAGTCAACCAGTGCATAATTCCTTGTGCTTCCTCCCCCGGCCTTCAACTTCACCAGTGCAAGACTCAACCCAAGCAAGACAGACAAGTGTTCCAATTCTATTCTTCTACAAGCTAGCCACAGTCATGTTTTTTCTTTGCTGCACGGGATGATCTAGCATGCGGATTCTTCGCGTCTATTGCTTGTCTCGTCGAATGATCTGGCCGGTACGTTCGCTAGCAGACTGGCCTTCAACTGAGGACCGCGCATTCACAACTAATACTTGGCTCACTATAACTGGAAAATGCTCTTGTCACAACGCACGCTCAGCGCAAGCTATGACTACTCTACTTGCAATTCCATCGCCCTGCCTTAGCCTCACATTTTCTGCCGACGCATCATGGATTCACTGGTAGTTTCAACCTCCTCTGAGCGACTCTTAACCATGCAACAGGCGCGACCGCCACACAGCATTCCTCCTGCCTCGATATTTACATCCTCATATAAGTTTGCTTGTCAGCTCTAGGATAATTGCTTCGTACCACGTTCGAGGTGCGGCAGACAGCGGTGGTCTCCTGTTACAACCGCCCGCCCTTCGCGATGAGACGAAACCCGGTTGATGTCGCCCTGTTTCACTTGAACGTATAGAAATGATATTGGGCAGCTTGCGAAGTAGTCATCAGCGATTTTTCTCAGATTCGCGTCACGAAGTCTTCTTGAGACGGAACCTGGCATGGATAATCGTTATCTTCGCAGAAAATACCCCAACATATTTGGACGATAAGAACTGCTAGTCTTTGGCTCACACATCTGACAGATGACTTTCATCAGGTCGTGACTTGAGTTTGAGTCTCATGTCTCGACGATCTCGTGCAACAGGTTTTCCAGTGAGACCCTGGGGATTATTCAACCTCTTCTGTGCTCTGATAATAACAAGTACATGTCCATCGCGGCACACAACACAGCGTAGTGAGGACATGTTCTCGTTCGAGATATTACATCATGATTTTCTGAACGGCCCTCTATGAGACTGGGCGTGAATGCCACGCGGGATTCGAAATGCGGTTTGCGTCTACTCAGGGCGATGACAAGTCTTACTAGAATTGTGTGAATGAAGCATTGGCTACCGCCCAGAAGCAGCTCACCGGAAGACACTTCTACCTTGACCACGCATCGGAGCCAACACTAGTTCGAGCGGAGACAGAGCCCGAGTTCTGTTCCCTAACCATGCCAATCCGGTGGCAAGTTTTGATCAGATGAGGATGAAAGGAATCAAGATTAGGTGGAACTCGTTAGTTGAAGGATTTTCGAAGAAGAATCGTGATGAGCGAGCCTCGAGCTATCGAGCAAGCCACGAACAGTCGAGTCATCACAGACCCACTGCAAAATCTCGAGCCTTGTTCCACCGGCTAAAGTCTCTTTTCAGTGGAGTCAGACGGTCAGGAGGTCAGCAGAAACCTTCAAGGGTGGAGTATTGTGATAGCATAGGACAGATTCTCCCCGGCCTGCTTCGAATGGTCAACTGCAGGATTTTGTGCCAACGACGTTCCAACCTATGCTTCCAACAGGATGGCATGCAGACCCAGTATTTGCCGTCGGGAAAGGCGCACATGTTACCACGAGGATCCCGTCGAGGACGGACCCATGTGCAAAGCGAATCCCTCACCGGTCGCGCTACTTTTTCCACTCCCATCGTCTTGCGTGGTGCGTGGTACACTCCGGTACCGGTTTGGACTAGTAGTAGCGTACCTTGCCTGCTTGTCATCCAATGACACTATCGACGGCATAAGGGGCGATTCCTCCGTGTAGAGCCCTGAGGCAGCCGCTGCTCCGTCTCCACTCTGCACCGAGCAGGTGAAGGGACAGAAGGGAGCAGAAGCGCTAAGATGATCTCGGGGCAGTATCCAGCCATGGAAGATATTATACTTGCCACTCGTCTTTGTGGTTCATGCTGCATTGCTGTCAACGGGGCAGATCCGGACCAAGGTCAAACCGAGGCCCACAGTGCGACACCTCGTACAAGCAACTAACTCAACCCTGCTGCTTTAGCATCGGCATACTTCCCTATGAGGCGACGGACGAGTGTGCCTGAGCCGAACTATCGCAACCGGCTCGGTAGCTAGCAGGGGAGTGGACAAAGTAAGTTTCCAGCATGGCGCTTGCACGGTGCGACCAATGGCGAAGACGAGAGCATCTGAAAGCTGCTTGGTACGTCAATTACACCATTGACAGGCCGTCCATGGCGCTGGAAGTGGCCCCGTGCGAGCGTGGCAATCCCAGGATAACGACAAAGATGAATGTGTTGTACTCCGTACTGAATCACACCTGCCATGCGGCCAGGGGCATCCGACTGATCCAATTCGTGCTTGGTGAGGAGTTTTCGTCGGGTGGGTGGGTAGATATGGTCCAGGCAATCTTGCTGCAGCCCGGCTAGTGCGACTAACGTCACTGAAACAACCCGACCACGCATCGGGACTGGATAGACTCATATCCACCACCACTTTCAATCCGTCTGTTGACCTGTGGGATGGTCGAATCCACTTGGGGGTGACAGGCCGGTGAAAAATCTGATAGCGAGGCCACGGATCAGATAAGACAAGATCGCGATCAGATAACCTAAGCAGAGTCGCCCAACCTGCATCACTTGAATCCACTGGATCACAGTGACAATATCACCACGACGCGAAATGTTGTCCTCCACAGACCAAGAAGCGATAGGTGGAAGGGCTTCCAGTTGGAACGCAAGTGGAGAAGTTATTGTCGGTGGTCCATTGGGTGGAGATAGTACGTATCATACATACCCCATCATAACTTACTGTTTACATACCCAAACCATACACCACACCAGACCGTACTATACACTAACTGATACACTAATAAGTCACTGTCCTCCGTGTCTGCCCGGCCGAAGCCTAGCAAAGACCACCTCGTGTCGTCAAGCGCAAGCAAGAAAAACAAACGACCCACTTCAGCTCCTGCGCAAGGTTCGAGCATACGGAGTAATCAGATGGTGTGGATCGGAGCACATTTCCTAAAATCCTCCCACATCACACTAGCGGCAAACCCGATGGCCGACCACGCTTATCTCTTATATATTGGGCATGGACCTCCGTGCTTCATCTCTCCTTGAGTTTCTATCCACCTCCGCCGCTTCAACTTCCTCCCATCCGCCATGTTCTCCAAGCTGCGGGCGCCCTTCCGTCGCTCGACGACGGATGAGCCCGGCACTACCGTGACTATGACCGCCCCTGTTGATGCCACCAACCCAGAGAAGGCCGTCGAGAGTGGCGTCGCCCCGACCTCCAACAGCGACTCCGACGAGGAACACCCCGAGACCACCGAGGACCAGGCCGGTACCCACGAGGTCGAGGCCATCACCGCTACCTGGAGCAAGGCCTCGTTGATTGCCGTCTTTATCAAGTAAGTGACCTGTCCATGTCGGTAAGCCGAAACAATCTAACCCAGGTCCTACAGCATTTGGTTCCTTTACTTCGTCAATGCCTTCCAAGTCGAGATTCTGTCGACTTTGATCCCTTATCTCACCTCCGACTGGGATTCACACTCGCTGCTGAACGTCATCTACGTCGTGTCCGACTGCTGCACCGCCGCCGTGTTCATTCCGCTGGCCAAGATGATGGATGTCTGGGGTCGTGCCGAAGGCTTCGGGTTCATGGCGATCATCTCGACCTTGGGCCTGATCATCATGGCCGCCTGCCACAACCTGCCGACCTTCTGTGCCGGCTACGTCTTCTACAACGTCGGCTTCTCGGGCATCACCTTCTGTGTCGACACCCTGACCGCCGACGCGTCGCAGCTGCGCAACCGAGCGTTGGCGTACGCATTCACCTCGTCGCCGTACATCATCTCGGCGTTCGCGGGTCCTAAGGCGGGCGAGGATGCTCTGGGCATGAGCATGCGCTGGGCGTTTGGCGCTTTCGCAATTATCTTCCCCGTGGTGGCGGCACCTCTGTTCTGCATCCTGAAGTATAACACCCACAAGGCCCTGAAGGAGGGTCGTCTGGTGCGCGAGAAGAGCGGCCGCACCGTGATGCAGAGCATCTGGTACTGGATCATGGAGTTTGACTGTAAGCAATCCTCTCGTTTTTCTTTGCGAATGGTACTAATCCTCTGTAGTGATTGGTGTCTTGTTGTTCTCGGCCGGTCTGGTGGTCTTCTTCCTGCCGTACGATATCGCGTCGATGGCGCCCGACGGATGGGGCACCGGATACATCATCGCGATGATCGTGGTCGGGTTTTCGATGATCGTCTTCTTCGCCATCTGGGAGTACTACTTCGCGCAGGCGCCGATGCTGAAGCTGGGGTACCTGGTGGACCGGACGGTGGTGGGAGCGTGTCTGCTGGACGCGACGTACCAGGTATGCTACTACTGCTGGGACTCGTACTTCACCTCGTTCTTGCAGGTGGTCAACGACCTGAGCGTGGCGGACGCGGGCTATGTGAACAACACCTTCGACGTGGTGTCGGGCGTGCTGCTGCTGTTTATTGGGTGGCTGATCAGCCGCACCGGGCGCTTCAAGTGGCTGCTGTACTGGGCGGTGCCGCTGTACATCTTCGCGCAGGGGCTGATGATCTACTTCCGCCGCCCGAACCAGTCGGTCGGCTACCTGGTGATGTGCCAGGTGTTCATCTCGATTGCGGGCTCGGTGTTCATCCTGGTGCAGCAGCTGGCCGTCGAGGCGGCCGTCGACCACCGCCACGTCGCGGCCACGCTGGCGCTGCTCAACGTTGTCGGCACCGTCTCGGACAGCATCGGCTACACCATCTCCGGCGCCATCTGGACCAACACCTTCGAGAAGGGGCTGGCGCGCTACCTGCCGGCCTCGGCGCTGCCGGACCTCGAGGACATCTACGACGACATCGACACGCAGCTGAGCTACCCCGTCGGCAGCGAGACGCGCCTGGCCATCCAGAAGGCGTACGGCTACGCGCAGACCCGCATGCTGGCGGCCGGCACTGGCCTCTTCGTGTTGGCCTTCATCTGGATGTTCATGATCCGGAACATCGATCTGCGCAAGAAGAAGCAGGTCCACGGTACCGTGTGGTAGACTCCTGTCCCCAAAACGAGCAAAAAGAGAGAGGGGAGGATGCCTCTGGCATCACAGCTTCAATATTGGCCCAGGCCATGTTGTCGAGTGCTTCTCGTTTAGTTATACCTATGTATCTAGTTTTAATCCACTGCTTCGTGTTCGCACATCTGGAAAGTAACTGTAGACGTCCATCTTGGCTTTCTTGGTGTCTTGAATATTGGGTGTCTGAAAAGCTTAGGAGTCGTCAATTACTTGGCTGACTTGGCACACAGCATTGGCACCATTGGCAACATTGGCACGAAGTTGTCCGACTTTTCACCGACGGGGAGATCTTCTCCGACCGTGTCTTCTATGCACCTCCTTCAATCCAACTACATCCTAAGTTCAGACATACAAATGATTTCCGGGGGAGAACCCCCGGACCCCCCTTTTTTTCCAGCTTCCTGGATAACTACATCCTAAGTCCAGGGAGACAAATGATTTCCGGGGGAGAACCCCCGGACCCCCCTTTCTTTCAGCTTCCTGGATAACCTCATTCTTAGTCCAGACATATCACAGGGAGAAACTCCACCCTGCAATCTCCTCCGCCACCAGGATCACTAGCTGTAGTGTGGTGTGCCTCAAGGAACAAACGACATCAAGTCTACTGAACAGCAGGAGCTGAATGTGATCAATTCATAGTAGTCTGGTTGATTGTACACGCAACCAAACCCAAATCTACCGCACGAATAACTTCCAGCAGCAATATCCTCCCCAGGTTGATAATAGGTAAATAAGGCAAGCTTAGTACCTAATATCGACCTCCCCTGGAATGAATAATAACCCCTCAAAACCCAGCACTGAAAACTCTGCGGCTGCCATACACCGAACCCTCACTCGTACCATCTCCATAGCCCAGACACCGGATTCACTGGAAGGTTGCGGGAATACACGTGAACCAAGGTGGTACTAGGATCGTGGCTTGACCAGCTAGTCAGTGCCAGTTTCCATCACTAACTCACTCACCTATGACTCTGTAAGGCCGCCCAGCTAATTCATCTGCTAGTAAGTAAGTAGCCTCCCGTACACGGTCAAAATGTGCATGGACAGATCCGGATCCGAGGGGCAACCCAACCCAGCGGTCAACGCCCAAGGAACGAACCCACGGAAGGGATCACAATCAGATAACTTGACCGCCAGCGCACTGCACCGGACCAACTCCCAAAACCCCCACCACCGCTACGACTGGAGTACAGTACGGCACTACCACCACTTCCACGGTGTTGCTGTCATAGACCCAGTCGGGCGTCATTCATACGACGCTGGTTCCACTGTTGTGTTGTGCGGTGGTGGATGGGGTGCACCAAGTGGGTTGGGGGGGGAGGAGGGGGGGAGGAAATTTCGAGTGGGTTTTTACTCTTACGGGGTGGTGCCCGCCGGTATCGCACTACCTTCTGGACTTGGCAGCAAAATAGCAAGTAAAACCTTCCTTACTACTCCGTACGTAGATTGCATTTGCATTTGCTCAAGCTATACAGGGTACTGTGTATATGATTAAGTGCACGAATTGAATCAAGTCCTGAGTAACTTACAGCAGAATCAATTGAATTCTCAAGTGCAGAATAAACTAATAAGCTGAGTGCGGAACAATCAACAACGAGTCAGTCAAATAGGAAATCCTACTCCTGCGGTGTGCCGTCGCAGTCGCACAAACCGAGCAGAAATTTATCTGATCTTGCATCACGCGGTTCCGGCGGTTATTGGCTGTGCGATTTGCGGGTGGTGGAGCCCTGACCTGACCGGATTTATTCGCAAGGGAAGAGTCACTCCGTACTACCTACTCCGTACTTCCGGGCTGGTGCTGGTGGGTACTGTAGGTATACTTGTTTATTTTGTATTTTTGCCGGTGTACTGCTGTAATTACTGAATCATCAGTGGTATTGTATTGTTGTATTGATATCTTCTGAAGGAGGAGGAGGAATACTGCACTGCTGTTCTGTAATTCTTCACTCACTTTTAAAATAAAAGCTAGTGTACAGCACATCACTGAATATATACCACAGCAATTAACACCACACAGTAACAGCACAGTAATACAACAAGGTACACTCAATCTACTAAATACACTTCCAAAACACCTTACCGCACCTCCTCAAGCACAATGAATAGTGAAATCACACCTGCAACTGCAAACTGAACTTCCTATATCATACCAGTCAGAAACACTAATCACCAGTACCAGTACCAGTACCCACGGAAAGAGGGGTAAATACTGATGCCCACTACCCCACCACATGAGACGCTGCCGCAATCTGATTAGACCAAAAGCGGATCAGATAGGTGAATCCACGGTGGCGCGGTGCTCGCGGGATCTGATTAGATCAGACACTGCAGGGGACTAACCCTTTGGGGGATTACCGGGAGGGGAAGCTGCTGCGCTAGTGCATTAGTGGCCTTCGGGATTCCATGCGTGGGTATTGATTGTTCCGTGGCGTAACTGATTTTTGGGGCCCTGTTTTTTTTTTTTTTTTTTTTTTTTCTTCTCCATTCTTTGCTCTTGTCTTGTGTGTGCCT